GAAGTTCTTAACTTCAAATATTATCTTCAGATCAATTATCGGAATTTGTCCCTCAATTACCATATACATGTGCAATAAAGAGTATTCTGTATGTATCTATTTGCATTAACCAGATATTGTAAAAGACTGGAATATCGCATAATTGTTTTACTTTTTTAAAAAAAAAATCCAAGGGGATTAAAAAGAGGAAAAATATACCTAAGGCCCTAGGTTATCAATTTTTTGTGTTTCTTTTTCTCTTTCTTCAAGTCTTATACATTTTTTTTACTGGTTGAAAAAATAGTGGGATAAATGAGAGCGTCTAGAGATCATCTTGATACTCTGATCACGTCTATTACTCATCTCAAAACGAATTCAACTAAGTCAGCATAACTATCGACCATTAAACTTCAACGTGATTTCCAGAATTCAAAACTGAAGTCTTGTACATGATTTGTTATTATTGCTTGCTAGACCAAAGTCTCCAAACTCTCTTGCCTCCAAGTTGACTTGCAGAAACAAAATGATGCCAAATTCAGTGTTCTTGTGGATTTTGGTAATAGTGTAAAATCACTCAAGACTTGCAGAAACAAATGGTGCCAAATGCAGTGTTCCTGTGGACTTTGGTAATCAAGTAAAATCATTCGAATGTTTCATTTTTTTTTTCTACATGTTAAAGTGTTTGAATCAATTTACACGTATTTTAATTAATCTCTTCTCTAATTTAATCAAAAACAAGTCATTAATAACATAATCAAAAATTTTATTCAGAGTAAACACCTTAACTATAAACTTAAATTTTTGTCATCCTCTTGATAAAAGTAACATAACACGTTTATATTTATTATATTATATTTAATACTAAAATTTTATTAGATACAAAATGATTCAACATCGATATACATTGCACATATAAATAAAAATAATAATGAAAAGAGGTTAATTGCAAATATTTATAACTGATTTCGATGAGTTTTATACTTTAAAGATGTTGTATGATAATTTCATTATCCATTCTATAAAAAATATCTTTCTCTATATAAATAATTAAATCACTCTTTTGATTATGTAACTTAATATTCACATTTTTTATAACTTAAAAAAAATAAATTCGACATATCAAAAACTTGTCTAGACATATTCGTAAAGTATAAAATAGGTTCAAAAATTTATAGTTAATCAAGTATTTGTCTATACTATAGAACAATAAATTGATAGATTGGACACAAAATTTATAAGATGGGCACCATGAAATATACCAAAAAAAATGAAAAATATATAGGTAATAATTTTTAAAAAAAATTTCAAGTGGGCCCATGCCCCTTGACCCACTAGTGGCTCCGCTACTGCTAACCATTTACATCGGGACTAGGGTATTCATAAGGGACAAAAATTTCTCATAGGATAGCCTAAAGGAGTTGCCAAAATTCGAACTAAAATCTCCTCCAATATATTGGTTTCAAATCTCTTTTCTATATTTCTCTTCTAACTAGATTACATAACATGAATTTAAGTGAGACTTATTGTATATAAATTGATCCATCACTCATTAATGGTAAATAATTTGGAAAGAAAGAAAATAAAATAAAAAATATCAGAAGAGATTTGATTTGAATCTGATATAGTGCATTAAAATTCATTCCAATACATTTTCTCTTTATTTTTTTTTCTTGGTGCATCAAGTGAATTTAACTTGGACCCGTTACATATAAACAAGTCCCTCGCTCATTCACAGTGACTTATTTGACCAAAAAGAAATAAAATAAAGGCAATAAAAGTATTTGAGAGATGATATTGAGATCTGTAAAGTTTTGTGCACTTCAAAAAAACTTGACTAATTCCAATAAATTCCCTTACCTATGAGACCCAAACATGGATTGCACGACATTTATTATAATATTAGGATTTAATGTGTAATTTGTGCTGTAAATTATGGGAGTTAAATTAGAGATATCAAAATTACGAGAGTTAGGTGATATTTTAAATAAATAACACTAGGGGTTCAATTATTGAATTTACAGAGTTTTGGGTGTGAATTAATGAGTGTGGAAAACAGGATGTGTATGTGATTAAATGGAACAAAAGGGGTCTAAGTGTATTTAGGGAAAGATTTGGCCGTCAATTCCCTCACTCTTGCCTTCTCTCGTATATAGAACCAGTTCTTCACTTACGAATTTTGTGTTGGAAAACCTTCTGAAGCTTTACTTCTTTACACGAGATTTCTTGGAGCCAAACTTCCCCACTTTGTTTTGATTTCTCTTCATCACTTTGAGTTTAAGAACTTCCATACAAGAATCAATCTTCAATTCGTAAGGGTTTTTAAGTAAGTATTTTTTTTCATCTTTGTTATGTAAAACCATGAGAAAGGTTTGGATATAATTGTTGTAAATCTCGGTGGTGTCGATTTCGGCACAAGAACAATAGCTACGAAGGGTCTTTTGGTTGGAATTTTTCATATGGTTATATGATTTTGTATTGTTATGGAAGTGTTGTGTATGGAAGAATTGGGTGTAGGAAGAATTTGAAGAGGCTTAGGGAGGAGAAAACCTAGAGATGAACCGTTACAAGTGGATTCTGGGAAGGGATGAACCGATACAATCTATACAATGACCTTTAAGATGTCTACTTTAAGATGATAGTGGTTTCACCACGTAAAATTTAAATGTACATAGAGAGTTTTAACTAGGAGCTTGTGGGTCGACTCACCTAACCATTAAATTTGAACGTGAAAATTAATGTACTTGTTTGTATAATTTAAACTAAGGTTTTGATTCACATTATATCCCTTAGAAAAGAGATTGGATTAATATTAAGTCAAACATGGTTACACATTTATGTATGAGTACACATAGAATAAGCATATACGAATAATACTCACGTGTCTTATGACGATGTGTGTTCGGTGCGGAGGCGACAACGCCGATTACGTCTAAAATATCACAGGGCGATTAATTGTGGGTTTAGAGTTAAACCTAAGGTGAGTATATTGATTAGAAATGTGATTGCCTAACTAATAGTTATACTTATGTTTATTAGTTGGAATCTGGTGTGGTAAATTACTAATTTGTGGAATTTGTGATTGGCTACGAGCTTAAGTGATATTTATGGTGGTTATGTGTTTTTTGATATTATTGATTGTTGAGACTGCGGGGCATAAACGACAATGATGTGATTGCTGATAATGCTAATAATTGAGTTGAATTATTTGGATTTGACTCAGATTCAACTCAAATAAGACTTGATTCGAGCTTTACTCGTGTTGTAAATGAGCAAAACTTGAACAGTTTTTAAGGTTCAACTCGAATTCAGCTTGTTTTTGAACTTAGCTCATTTCCTAAAATGAGCTGAGTTTGAACAATTTTTTAGAATTCTTTTAAAAAAAATGAGTTTAACAGGAGCGCTTCGATTATCAGCCCTAATTAATGAGACTCCCAGCAAAAATTGGTAGTCGTTAATTCTCGTCAAGATTTTCAGACGTTGTTGAATAGTCGAATATTATTTTTCACATTTAATATGTAGGATTTTTTTTAACAGTTTTGTGATATATATTTTTTATTTTTATATGTCTCAAGTATACTCACTAACCCTATGACCTACTCACCCCCAACAGTTATTTGTTTTCAAGTGTTGATTTAGAAGATGGTCCATTGTAGAGTCTAACTTGACTTCTGAGGGAATTGTTGTGTGCTGTACGACATGTCATGAGTCATGGTGTATGTGGCTGGTTAGGAAGTTTTGTAGATATGGTGTTTAAATGATGAGACTTTTTTGTTATGTATATATGTAATTATCTGGTCTTCTTTAGCTTAGATTAATCGATGTTAATCCATTGTGTAAGTGTTAGATGTATGGATTATAGGTTAGATCTTAACCCTTTTCTAGATAATTGGGATGTGACATTACCTCTGCCAAAAATATTTTTTTTAATATTTTGTAGTATACTTTACTTGATATCATATGACAATCATAAGATTTTAAAAAGATCAATGCGCCTAAGTCAAATTACCACCTCTAAAAAGGCCTAAATTTTCAAAAAATAGACGAAAATTTATCCATTAACTTAATATTCCTACAACAATCGATGTTAAATTTATGTTCATTATTTTTTTATGAACACATGAGATAATACATACAAACTTTATAATACAAGAGCCCAAGAAAACTAAGAACTATTGATCCAAAATATAAAAAAATAATATAAAAAAAATACTATAATTTCTAGAGTGACAAACATTTTTTTGAGTGATAGATCAAAAACTTTGGGGTAAATGTCATAAATGCTGCTCGAACAATTGCTTTATTTTAGATAGGACTGTTAATCAAACCGAGCTACTCGATTTTGGCTTGAATTCGGCTTGTTCAAATTCGGCTCGTTTTTTAAACGAGCCAAAACTTGAACAAATTTTTAGGCTCGTTTAGAAAACAAACCCTACAAGTTCGGCTCAAACTTGACAACCTCGGCTTGTTTATGTGCAAATATTCGGGCTCGGCTCGGACTCGACTCGGGTTCGACTTATTCAGGCTTGATTCATTTCTTAAATGAGCCGAACTTCAACAATTTTTAAAGCTCGATTAAGAAACAAATTTTTCAAGTTCGACTCGAGTCCGTTCGACTAACAACCCTAGTTTTAGATTGTCTCCTTAATTTTTAATTGCCCCAATTTATCCCTTCAACATTGTAATTTTTTTCAATCAATCTTTTCTATTAAAATTAATTAATAAATAAAATAAGTTTTGTTAAGATTGATTGTTAAGCGAGACAAATTCTGCTAAAATTATTCATTAATTTATCTTATTTAATGTTTAATTTTAATAAAAGGAATTCATGATAATAAATTGCATAATTTAGAAGACAAATTAAAATAATTAAAAATTCGATAGATAATTTAAAAGAAAGACTATAGTTCATGGAACATTTCCAAGATTTACCCAAGAAATGGATAGCGTCTTCCATTTATTTTTGCAGTACGCGTATACAAAATTACAATATATCTATATATATATATATAGAGAGAGAGAGAGAGAGAGTCTTATTGGAGGGAAGCGAGAGCGGTTAATTTAATTCCAGTGGTGGTAGCTTGACGAAGAAGGTGTGCAGATTAAGAGAGAGAGAGAATCTACCTTTGTGCCTGCCTAGTGGGGGGCGTAGGTTAATCCATCCCCAATTCCCAGTCTTCTTTCTGTATTCTCTCTCTTCGATGCGACTCATCCATGTCGAAAATGAAACACTTACTCCGGAAGCTTCACATCGGTGGTGGACACTTCGCCGATCATCACCCCCACCCACCTGTGAATATCAGTCCTCCACCGCCTCCTCAAGTGGCGCCGTCTGATTTGGCAAGTTCACCGACGGACGTGTCGGCGACCTCTTCTTCTTCGTCCGCATTGACGAGATCAAATACGGCGGTTGAGTCGGCGGAGAATTTGAATTCCGATTCCTTGGATTTCAATTTCTTTGAAGAGGAATTTCAGGTTCAGCTTGCGTTGGCGATCAGTGTTTCGGATCCAGATGCGACTGAAGATCCCGACACGGCGCAGATCCAGAAGGCCAAGCAGATAAGCTTGGGTTTGGGATTGGGTTGCTCGCGGCCTTCTGAAACCCTCGTTGAGTGTCTTTCTCTTCGGTATTGGGTAAGCGGATATGTTAGCGTCTTTATCATTCAATTTCTCCTTTCAAGTTTTGGCTGCATCGACTGATGAATTAGGTCAAATTTGTTCAACTTTGCTAATTTTGGATCTCAATTGTTTGTGATTTTTGAGATTAATGATTTGCATTTTAAATCTAATTATATATACGCACACGGGATAGTACTAGGTTGAATGGGTTGACTTGATGATCGATTCCAGATCTCATTCTCTTGGATGATGGATATGGATTATTTGCTTTTCAGGTCAAATTCAATTCACAAATCACGTTAATTAAGTTCGACATAAATTGTTGCTTTTTGTTTAGTTACACACACTTAAGTTGGGATGAATTCGCTGTGCACAAAAAGTTTGTATTATTAACTACTATGCAATCCTGGAAGTAGAAAATGCTCCGACTATTGGCTCGACAGAAAAAAAAAGACAAAGAAAATGCTCTCTCTCTCTCTCTCTCTCTCTTGCACAAAATAGACTGAATGGAAGTGTTTTACTTCTAGTAGTTGTTTCCCATGAATATGTCTTGGATTTCAACTAACTGGGGAAAGTAATATTTTTTGTATTTGCAGAATTATAATGTTATAAATTATGACGAGAGAGTGATGGATGGGTTTTATGATGTATATGGAATCAATTCAACTCTGCTGGGGCAAGGCAAAATGCCTTTACTGGTGGATCTCGATGCAATTTCTGTTTCAGATAATGTAGATTATGAAGTTATTATAGTGAACCGTGGGGCTGACTCGGAACTGCGACAGCTTGAGGAAAAGGTGTATATCATGTCAATGGAGTGTCAAGGTTTTTATGATGGCTCAATTATGAGTGGTTTGATCCAGAAAATTGCTGACCTTATTGTTGGTAGAATGGGTGGTCCGGTTAGTGATGCTGAGGAAATGTTGAGAAGATGGACTGCCAGGAGTTATGAATTGCGGAATTCTTTAAACACTATAATCCTTCCCCTTGGCTGTCTTGATGTTGGACTTTCACGCCACAGGGCCTTGCTCTTTAAGGTTCTTCGAGTCTACCTCTCTTTATGTTGTAACCTAAACTCAAATTGATTCATGTATAGAGTATCTGCATTCTAGTTCTATTTTAGTTTTTTTTATTGAGATAATTATTTTTGTATTGTAGTTAGGACTTTAATCTGGGATTGTATCTCAATTCATGTGAAGGGCTCACCTCATTTTTGTGGGCAATATCATACACTAACATCATGATAGAGTTAAATTATTCTATGTCTCATATGCTATGCTAGATTGTTTGCAATATCATCTCTTATCCATTTCCAAGGTAATCATTGAATGATTGTAAATTAATCCAAGATGGAGAGAAGCCTTTAGAAGGTCATTTCTGCATTCATTGCCTCAACAGTGCCCCATATATAACTACTGATATTGATTGTTTCATGCAATAGAAGAGGACATATTGTCAACCTTGTTTGAAGTCTTGAAGGTTCGTAGAGAATGTGCCAGTGAAACTAGTACTTAAATTGACATATCAGATAACCCTAGAGTGCAAGTTTGTTGTTCAATTTGTTGAACCACTTATTTAGTGAGAATTTTAAGACACTATTAACCAACTTCACATTTCTAACACGTTTACCCTTTTGATTCATATGGTGGTCTTGTATGAAATACGGATATTTTGTCAAGATTGACATATCTGTGTCGGATATGATATTTGTTGGATATTCGATGATATGTATCAGATACACATCGTATGTATCCGATAATTAAGAAAATATGTGGATATTTCATTGATACTTCTACACATGGAGCAAGATGTACAATTTTTAATTTTAATCTATACTCTCTCATTTAAAGTTCACATACAATACAATATACATCAACAAAATTCCATTTGAAGACACAAGTATTTTTTAAGAATGTCAAAAAAGTATAGAGAAATAAATTAGTTACACTATAATCTTATAAACAAATTGACTTGTTACATGTTGATTCTGATTCTTTTAATTAGTCACGTTCACTTTATAGATCTATCATAATGAAACAATATTACACATTTTTCAAAAAAAAAATTGCTAATTTTGCTTACAATTGTTAAATAAATATTAAAAATTGTAGTTTTTATTTAGTTAAATAATTGTAAAATATAAATATATTTTATTATAGGCGTATCTTAGCCATACCCGTATTCTATTTTTTCAAGTTTTGTTATATCGCTGTATCGTATCGTATCCGTATTCGTGCTTTCTAGGTGATCTCTTTCTCAAGCATTTGAAATTATGTATTTTGGATGCCAGGTTCTTGCTGATAGGATCAACCTTCCGTGTATGCTGGTCAAAGGGAGCTACTATACTGGCACTGATGAGGGAGCTGTGAACTTTATTAAGGTTGATAATGGAAGGTAGTGATATCATGTTTTATTGATCAACTTACATGCATTTGCAAATCTGTTAAGGTTACATTTTTTCTTTGGTCATTTGAACGTTACATCCCTTATATAGAGTTTTTTAGTTGCTTATCTTGTGCAGTGTTGATGCGAAAATTCCTTTTGAAATATTTATTTTCCCATTAGTTCGTCAGTTTCACATTTGAGAAGATATTTCAGCTATAGCATGCACCAGGGATCTATATCCTTAAGGTTGTTGATGGTTGCTTTACTCAGCTGTAACTCTTCATATTTCTTTTCTTTTTTCCATTTTTCTTTACGCTGGATTTTTTCTTTCTTTTTTCCGGTGCCCCGGGGGGGTGGGGGGAAGGAGTTTGTGATTGAATGGGCACCAAGCTTGGAGTTTATACATTCCTTCTGATGCTTAACAAGATCTTCTAGAACTATGATCCAGAAGTGCAATTTGGCAATGTTATGAATTTGATTCGCCAATTGACCGTCACCCCTTTATGCATGTTTGTTATCTTCTTGATTTGTTCACTTTTTTTGTGGTATCACCCTCGTAGGTTTGGCGTTGCACATCACTTTACTGCCCCATACTTTAATTTCTGGATAAGGACTTCACAAACTTTTCTGCATATGTAGGTGCAATTTTTATACAGCATTCAAATACAATTTCCAAATTGCGATCATTTCTTCCGTGGAGACTTTTGAGTCTTTCTTTTAATGATTAAACGTATATTCAAGTTATAAACATAAAATCTCCTTTCATTGTATATTCTCTGTTGTTCATTTTCTTCTCACAGCTTTTCTTCTTTATAATTGTCAACAGGTCTTTCCATCATGTAGTAATAATGAGTAATGTTAATGTTAAAGAAGTACGATATGCTGTTATCACTTTTTTATTTTCCTTCCTTCCACTGTTTTTAATGTCCTAGTAGAAAGGACAATAGCATCCTTAAAAGTCTGTGAGGAGCCAATGTGTGGTTATGTAGCTGATTTTTGGATTAATGCAGTGAGTTCATTATTGATTTAATGGGTGCTCCGGGCACACTAATTCCTGCTGAAGTATCCAGCAGTCATCGGAAAAATTCTGGGTTAGATCTGCGGAGCTTTTCATCCATTGCCGACTTTGTAGAAAATCCTTGTTCAGTGCTTGAAGAAGGATATGGAACAAGGGCAGTTTCACCTAAACTTGACAGAGTTGCCAAAGTTGGGAATTCAAATTTAACAGAAGCATCTTCTCTTAGCATTCAGTCAAAACGGGGTGACAAGAATGTTGTGGAGAAAAATCAAATTGAGAGGTTTGAGCATGAGTTTGGGAAGCTTCATCCACCACTAGGCAGATCGCATGAAGGCTCATCAGGTGCTCACGAGAAAGCATCAGCTGCACAAAAGATGCAAGTTAAAGATGTTTCTGAATGTGTCATTAGCGCAGCCAAAAACCCAGAATTTGCTCAAAAACTTCATGCTGTTTTGTTAGAAAATGGTGCATCACTGCCTCCTGATTTGTTGTCAAACATAAATCTTTGTAATCTGGGAGAAGAAGAATTGCTTGAAAATATTCGGCAATCAAATTTGAGAATGGTGGCTGGTGAGGCTCAATGTTCTTCGGATATGCTCTTGTCAAACAATGAGCAATCTATTATACCCTTCAGTGGAGGGCATTGGTTTTCAGCAAAACAGCAGGAACTGAAGTCCACTATCATGAATCGTGGACAGGCTGTACCTTCTGATACTGCAAATGAGGAATTTGTGCTTATCAGTAGCGGACATAAAGAAATGAGCCAGGCTGATGATGCAGCTTTGTGTAATGGTTTTGCTGATCCATCTCGACTGGTTTCAAGAGCTTCAGATGGGGAACATACTTATGAATTTTCTATGTTTCTGGCTGCGAAACCTTTTGAAGGACAACCTAAAAGTGCTCTTCATTGTGATGAGAAAAATGAAAACAAGTTAGGAATGGTTTTAGATACTGGAAAAGACAAAGGGGCTGTAGCAAAAGTTGATGTTTGCACAACACAGAATGGCAGTATTAACCCAGTGCTGGGTGAGGCTGCTGAATGGGAAATTTTATGGGAAGATCTTCAGATTGGAGAACGAATTGGAATAGGTAAGATTTTATTCTCCTATCTCATTGAATTATGAAATCTCTTTCTTCCTGGAACCACACAATTTGTTATTATGCATAAATATGGACCAAATAGTCATTTGATAATAAGGTTTATATTGTCATTATGACTTAGAATGTTGAATTGAAATCATCTGCGGAGTATATACTAGAATCATGGCTTTGAATTAGGAAGCACAGATTCAGGTACAAGATATGGGGTATGAATACGGATACAACGGTAATGTAAAATCCTAAAAAGTAGGATACAGATATGGTTATGGTACATCTATAACATGCTATATAATTTGTTGATAAAAATGTGAGAATATCACAAACTAAAATAATATGTTGCTAAGAGGCTAACATAGGGAACCATAGAATGGTGTGTTCATCTCAGTGTTTTATGAAATCCAAAATCTAAACATGTGTCATCGTTCAAGATTCCTCAACTTTGACTCAACATCTAACTGAAGCCAAGCCCATTGATTTTGACTTTAGTCATAGAAACTAGTGATTTAATTCAAACAAGTTGTAAACCATTCTCTGAATTTTAGCCCAACTTCACTTTCCCTAAGGCACATGAAACCATTCATATTTTTAATTGAATCTCCATGGAAGGTATGTGTGGGGCCTCCAATTAGCTAATCTTTTTAAATCTATAATGAGCAAATCCAACAACAAATATATTATTAATTGTTTGATACGGACATAAAGTATCTGATTTGTATCCTCAATCCTCAAGTATCTAATGAGTATTAGTATTCGATATGTTTTGGATATGGATACTTTACCCCAAACGAAGAATTTGTGCTTCTTAGGTTTTGAATGTTAAGTGAATGTATGAGAGATTCATGTTTCCTTTACATTATTCGACAAAAATAAATAAATAAATAAAGAATTTTCTGTTTGGAGTGTTATCTATACTTGAGTATCAAGTGGTTGTTCATTCATAGTCTTATGCAATTTCAAATCCTATCGTTTCAGGTTCATTTGGTGAGGTTTATCGTGGAGAATGGAATGGCACTGTAAGTTATATCATAGATACATGAATCAATATAATCTGACCCTTTATCATGGCACTTATTAAAAAATCATATTGTTTTTCCCCTTCAAAATGCTTTGATAAAATGCAATGTTGGTAGCAAATGAGTGAGTGGAGATGATGTTATAAAACACTTTCTTTATTGAAGTTGATTTGTTTGCAGAATGTTGTTTGTATGATGTTCAATGCATTATTACATTGCCTTTGATGTATACCACAAGTTGATTGAAACAGATGGATTTCTTGAGTAACTTTATAACCTGAACATAAACTGATTTGTCTTGTAAGTTGTAACACACTCGCTCGGGCTGTGTGGGTCACTTGTATTAGTTCTTAGGAAACTGTCCCTGTCTAGGTCTAGAATGTACTGCCATTCGTTAAAAGTTGCATCCATGCATTCTTTAAATAAATTTCTATGATGAAATCTTTAGGTCAAACTTACATCTAATTGGCTTATAATATGAAATTATTACACTTGTTACTTGTTAAAGCATTCAACCCAAAACCAATTGACAATGGTTGTAATGGTCCCTCAAATATATAAAACCAACTTGGGTCTAAATTTTTCGATGTGAGGTAGCTCTCTTCACAACCTTCCTCATGTGTGACTCAAACTCACATGCAAGTTACCAAATCGAACTCAAACAGGTAGACAAACCGACTGAAGCCGAATTGAAACAAACAAATAAACAGACTGGAGAATTCAACTGAGTGAGTGACTTAGCCCATTAACCCAAACTCAATTGGTAGTGAGTGGATTGACACCTCAAGTATACAAACCAACCTAGGGTTTACTTAATTTTTTGATGTGGGACATCTTTCTTCACATTCCTATACATTATGACAAAATAAATGTTGCTATAGTTGGTCGTGACTATATGTGATGTGTTTGAAATTCATTATGACCCTAATGATCCACTAGAGGTGTTCAAATTTTCGATTGGTCACAATTTTCTACCCTACCCGATCTTACCCAATCCTACTGAACGGCTAGCCGCAAAAATCAGGTAGGAATGCGGAAGAGTTTTTAGTCGTCCGATTAAATCGGGTAGGAATGCGGAATACCCATCAATTTCAGCATTTCTACCCAACTATACCCGCAAAAAATGTATTTAACTTTTTTATATTTTTATAATAATTGTAAGAGTATTTGTGTGGTATAATTTATATTATAACATTGTTATTGTTGTGGATGTTTGAGTTGCGAAAATATAGACTTGTTTTTTTTTTTAGGTTACATGATTTGTGATGAACTAGTGAACTATTTGAGCAGTTATGATTTTAATGTGTTTTATATGGTTTAAACTTAAAATAATTGTTTGTATTTGTGTAACAATTATGATGGAGTGATGTTCATACTTTCTTATATTTTATTGTAATTGTTGTTGTAGTTGTTTTAGGTTTTAGTGTTATTGATTTATTGTGTTGTTAAATTGGTGCATGTTATTTATTTGAATTGTTAAAATGTTCTAAAAATTAATAGCTACAAAAGTATTTACCCGACTTCCTAACCGATTATTCGGGTAGGAAGTTGTGTAGGAATACCACACTTGATCGGGTAGGGTAGGTCAAGAAAAAATTCTTCCGCAAAGAATTAGAACGGAAGACAGAACACAATATTTCCTGCCCGTAGGGTAGGGTGAACACCCCTATGATCCACTCATTATTACTGCACAGTACTTTTTTTGTTAACATTAATGTTATTAAAATAGTATTGCATGACAGGAAGTCGCTGTGAAGAAGTTCATGAACCAAGATCTATCGGGTGATGCACTGTTGCAGTTTAAATGCGAAGTGCGTGCCAGATTCTTTACTGTGCATTATGTACTGTCATGAATGATCTAATTAGTATTCTTCAAAAGAATTCCGCTCAATGCCTGCTGGTTGCTTTGTGCAGATTGAAATCATGTTAAGATTGAGACATCCTAATGTTGTTCTTTTCATGGGAGCGGTTACTCGTCCTCCAAACCTCTCCATTTTGACCGAATTCCTACCGAGGTTTTATCTTTTCCAGATCTAATAGTTTCACCAAATAATATTTTTTTCATTTTCGACAATTGATAAATATAGCTTCTATTCATTAAATGTGCACTGATGTTTGCAGTTTTGTCGTAGTTCAAAATGTGTGCCTATAGCCATCCTCATTGCCACATTTACTTAAAGTTAGCCTTTTCTAGACTTGCAGGCACTTTCCTTACCTTTCTTTGTAGTAGCTCCCTAGCTTGTTCTTTAGGGCCATAATGCTCTTCTTCTTGGGTCCTTGTAGAATTTGTTTTTCTTTGGTTGTCATTGGATTAACACATTGATGGTATGTTGTATATATATATACATCAATGAGTCATGTTGCTGTGCTCACATTTTTGCACATTGCCGTGCATGGCCAATAGAAAATTCACTTATATTTATAATAGGACTATAAGAAAAGTGTAAGGAGCATGGCTCCTTCGACCATCTGAAAGATCTCTCTGCTTGTACATGCGAATGATATAGTTAGAGAAGATTTTATCACTGATTATTTGTGGTGCTTTACAAATCCATTTATTTATGTGCAGGGGGAGTTTATATAAGCTGCTCCATCGTCCAAATGTTCAAATTGATGAAAAGAGGCGAATGCGAATGGCTCTTGATGTGGTATAAGTTGGTGGTGTTTCTCTTTTGTTTCCATTATCAGAATCAGTTCTGTTTTTTGTAAATTATGCTAAGTGCTTGCAGGCAAAAGGAATGAATTACTTGCACACGAGCCATCCTATCATTGTTCATCGTGATCTGAAGACTCCAAATCTCCTTGTTGATAAGAACTGGATTGTTAAGGTTTGGCAAATTAATTTTTTTGCATTAAATCTCTTGCCCTTTGTCCTTGGTAATCCATAATGTTGTGCATTTTTGTTTACATATGAAATGCGTAATTAAGCATGTTTTTCACCGAGCTCTTTACTGATTGCATTGGGGACAGCATGATTGTTAGCTTGGCAATGTTTGTATATCTTTGCAGGTTTGTGATTTTGGTATGTCGCGCATGAAGCACCACACGTTTCTGTCTTCAAAGTCTACTGCTGGAACGGTACTGCATTCTAAAATATAGAATTTTATTTAGTTTTGTTCCATCTCTCCTGTACCTTTCTTCAAATTCCCCCCCCCCCCTTCTCTCTTCCTTTTTCTTCTCTCTTTACTCCTCCCTGGGCAAGGAAAAAATAAGAATAGTAAAATGTCTTTACTAGGTTAGGATATTATTTCACTAATGTACTGAAGGTGCACCATTACACTGCAGCCTGAATGGATGGCACCAGAAGTTCTGAGGAATGAACCATCTAATGAAAAGTAAGTGAATTGTTTATTTTACAATTAGAACATGTGGAAAAAAGGTGAAGAGAATTATGAACTTTTCATTTCAAATATTGCTCATCGAATTGGTTGGACTGGTTTGCAGATCTGATGTGTATAGTTTCGGTGTGATTTTATGGGAGCTTGCAACTTTGCGTGTACCATGGACCGAGATGAACTCTATGCAGGTTGTTGGAGCTGTTGGGTTTCAGGATAGACACCTTGATATTCCAAATGAGGTTGATCCAATGGTCGCGGAACTAATAACCGACTGTTGGAATCTGTAAGTTTTAAATGTTGTTGTTGCTTATTTAAATGTTGGATTATGATTGCCTCAGCATTTACGATTATATAATCTTTGCTCGAGTCCTGAAATTTTTTTATCCTTGAAATTCCGCATAAGAAAGGTCCTGACAAAATTTTTACATAAAAAAGATCTTAACATTAATATATTGGCAGTCCTTCATGTTATCAATTTATTGGAATGTTTTAATCTATATGCTGCTTTACAATGGTTTATTATTCCCACTCATTGCTTTCCATTTCGAGGATTTGATGGTAACTTCTCTTTTACAGTGTTCCACATGTGCGCCCATCTTTTGGACAAATTATCACCCGTCTCAGGTGTCTTCAGCGTCTAGTTGTTGACAGAACAAAAAATCATAGAAATCAACAATATGGCCGACAACAATGAAAACTGTTGTTTCTGGGACTCAAAAGAGCCGAAGCACAGCAGAGGTTATGGTTGCAAAAGTCTTCAAGATGAAAAGAAACACGAGTTCAGTGGATTGGGAAGTGTGGATTCATTCGAAGTGGGGATCAGCACAGCCAGTTCGGAACAAGGTCGAACATTCTCCAAATCGACAGTTGCACGAAGTGCAGGGGGAGGATACCATTAGGAGGTAGCTTTTAGTAGCAATAGTGGGTTGTGAGGGAGTGTACCGAAAATTGAAAACTAAAAAAGAAAGGAAAAATAATGACCAAAAACTTCTTTTCTTTGTGGCAAGTGTAGTTACACTGTTTATATGTAAGCCGTCCCAAATATGAAAAAATGTTTTTTTTTTTTTTTTCCTTTTCTTTTCTTAAAAAAAATGGCATCTGTGAAGGCTGTCGGGGAAGCAATTGTGGCTTCAGAGTTGTAAACATTTGGTCTCTGGCCTCGGGCCAATCATTGTGTTAATAAAAAGCAAAAAAGGAAAGGGATTATTTTCATTTTGTGGGTTGTATATATTCTTATTCTGCCCGCCTCTTCATATTTCTTGAAAATTTGGGTAGTGAATGTTTGTATGTAAAGTTGTTGAATATGGAGAATTGCATATGTGGAATTTTTTAACAGAAAGAAGTCAAAATCTTGTTTGTTTTTCCCAAATGGGTTGTTGCTATGAGTCATTAAAACTGCCAAGCAACGTGGAGTTCCTCAGCTTAATCACAAGGCCTAGTTAATTACACACGATTAGGCATGTCAATTGTGTCAGGTAAGGTGGGTTCGTAATGAGTTTTAGTAGATTTATATCACTAGTCTTACGCTAACTGGATGCGATTAGACCTGTCAATTGTGTCGGATGAGGTGAATTTATATTGAGTTTTAATGGGTTTGAGTCAAAAAATATTTTATTCATATCTAATTCGTGTTTCATGAATCGAATCATATTAGTTTCGTATCGTTTATAAATTATGTATAATCAATATATAAACAAATTGTGTCGTATATTTTTTTGATTAATTTCACTTATATTACATTTGTTTATTAATTATATCGCGTCGAATTCACCCATTTGTAAAGCGAGTGGGTTAGGGAAGAACCAAATCAGTTTCTCCTAATCACAGCTAACGTATGGTCAAACCCCTTGATGTAACTACTCAACTTCAACATTCTCTTTTGCCTTCTCATTGGCCAACACTCAAGGAGCCACTAAGGCTCTCTAACAATCTAAATACCGGCCATATCAGCCTCAAAAAACCTCCTCAATTGCTCCGGAGGACTGTCGAGGAGAACAAAGTCACCCTCTTGTCTTTCTCCTCAATTTGCAAGGAAGTCAGCACAATAGTTTCCTTCTCTAAGGACATAGTTAATTGAGCTGTTTGTGAGGCTCAGCAGTGTTCTGCAATTTTCGATAAGCACCCTAGAGGGATGATTCTCCAAATGCTGTTGCTTCAACAGTAACACAGGCTTCGTAAGAGTCAGATTTCACCTCCACTCTCTGCAGTCCATGTGCTTTCAGCAATTCTAATCCTTTAAACAGTGCCCACCCACAATTCAGCTATAATACTGGAAGTTATGTTGAGCTTCCCAAAAAATCCCGCAATCCAATGACCTTGGTCATCTCTTATCAGCCCTCTCATTCCTGCGGCACCTGGATTCCCTTTAGAACAGTCGTCAGTATTGAATTTAAAACCTCCTGCATAAGAAAAAGGCCAAGCAATGAGTCTAACACTGTTGCCAACACTTTCGACTTAAGAACTCATGCGTTAAATTCAGTAAAAAGGTGTCTTTTTTCTCATCCAAATCAAGTTTTTTTCTGGTCCAATCATACTATGCAGCCTAAAAGATTTTAAAAATTTTAATTTATACTTTTAGTAATTAACTAATTGGTGCACACGTGCATTGCACGTGAACTTCTTCAAGTATCAAATATTACTCATTGTTGAGGTCAAAAATCATGAACTCCAATAAATCATACAGATTCGTCGTGTCTTTGTCGGCTTTTGTAGACCAGTTTTTGAACTCTCTTGCTAGTTAGATGTCGACTATAAGTTAAGTGGTATACATTATTTAGTATTCGCAAAAAATAATTAAGCAAATAGTTAATAACCAAGAATTATAATCAATAGTTCACCAATAAACTCATGATTTAGATAACTTCAACAAAACAAAAAGGATAATTATCACATACTAATTTAGGTAATTCAAGAACTCCTCATCTTCAAGTTTGAATATTTTCAATTTGTTCTTGGACCCCTTCTTGTCGCATCTTTTTATCTTGAGAACCTTACTCTGCGCTTTTACTTCTTGGAGGAGATATTTCTTGTCTCAATTTAAGCTTTTGTGTTTGTCATCATCTTCTCCGACTATTGCGTGAGTGATAACAATTGTTGTTGCATTCTTGTTATAAAATCAATTAATCTTTTTTTTTTTTGCCATAACATAACAGACTTAAATTAACCTAATAATTTAGAAGAGGAATCATGTAACTTAACTTAAGTAGAGTGTTCCTTTAATTGAATTTAGTTATCTATAATTCAAGTTTGTTGTTACTCCAAACTGCTTCAGTGGTTAGCAATAGTAAAATAAGAATTGTAACTAAAGAGAAGTTTAGTGTTGTTTTGTTAACATTTATATATATTAAAAATTTTGTATAATTTCATCATTACCCACAATAGAATACAAAAATAACTCTTAACCTATGACAAGTTTTTAGCCAAATAAAATTCAAAATTTTCTGCTAGCCAAGATTAACGAAAAATTATTAGTTAATTATAGAAAAAGAGAAGTTATATAGAGAACTTCTGTAATATTTTATAATAGCAAAATTGAAGGAGAGGAAAGTTATGGAGAGAATCTCTCTCTTAAAAACAAATAAATAGCTAATTAAACATCTTAATCGATGTCTTATTCGTAACACTTTTTGTATCAACTGAGAAAGATTTGTTTGTTGTGAGAGAGAATGAGTTGTAAACATTTTGAGGTTAATTTAAGGAAATTAAATATAATCAGATAATCGTGCACTAGCATTGCTTGTTTAACAATGCAGCTAATCAATTTGATTCTAACGGAAAATCAAATGACATAGCGGATATGATTGACTTTATACCAATAGTTAAGGGTAAAAACGAAATATAAATATTTTTCATGTATCTTCACTTTTTAAGTAGTATATATATATATGACACCCTCAATACCATAAAATAGTTGTAATATGATCCTTACACTAACTTTTGTTACAATTTTTGTCAATCGACTATGTGTCCCTCACACCAAGTGTAGTGAGATTTAACAAAAATGACAACGGAAGTAGTGTGATGGTCACATTGTAATTATTTTATAACAATGAGGGTCTAATATAAAAAAAGTAATAATTGGATGTACAAATTAAAAAATTTAAAATCTTTTGGGGTGCACTTGTATTATTTGATTTGGATAAGGCACATATTAGCTTTAAATCCACCTTGTGGACCTCACACGAGATATTTTTCTTCTTTTCTAAAGACAAAAAATGATGGAAAATTGTAGTGAAAATTTTAACCACACTTCTTCTAGTTTATCATATCTTTAATAACACCTCTTTTATTTTTTGAATCTTCATTAACACCTCTGTCAAATTAAAAATATTAACTAGAATATATTTTTATTAAATTGCCTGATATAATTGAGGACAAACTTCATCCACATTCTCTCTAGATAAGTATATTTTCAATGAGACTCCCCCTCTGTTTTCTATTTTTTTTTTACGTATTAAAATTTTGACCGATTAAAATTCTATTCAAACTAATTAATTTTTTTTTACATATTAAAAGTTGAACTAATTAAAAATTATATGTAATAAAATTTGGGCTAATTGAAATTCTATTTGAGCCAATTAAAAATTATTTTTAATTGACTCAAATCAAAGTTTAATAAACTCATATTAAATTTTAATCAACACAAATTTTAGTACATAAAAAAAATAAATTTTAATTGACTCAAATTTTAATAAATTGAATTTTAATTGACACGAATTTTAATAAGTAAAAAAATATAAATTTTAATTAACTTGAAAACGAATTTTAATTGATACTAACAACTCGGGTAAATCTCAAATCAGCTCAAATTTTAATACGTACAAAATAAATTTTAATAGGCTCGAATTTTAATACATTAAAAAAATAAAATTTAATCAGCTTCAATCAAATTTTAATATGTAGAAAAATAAATTTTAATCGGTTCAAATTTTAATAAAATTTTATGTATACAAATTACTTGAGGTTTATGTAGGGGCATTTTTGGTATTTTAGATGAACTGTTTTTGGTTATAAATTGTAGTTTAATGGTAGGGAGTGGTAGTGATATTTAAATATAAACTAAAAAAGGGTGTCAGTGATGTTTTTTATAATAACGGGGTGCTCTTGAAGATATAATAAATTAAGAGGGGTGTGGCCGAAAGTTTTCCAAAATTGTATTATGAAATTGGATAGTGTGTGAGTGTGTGAGAGAGAACAAACTGAAAATCAATGGCCACTGCACTTTCTCTCTCACTAAAACCAACCTCACCACCACCTCTCTTCTTCCCCTCCACAACCACCCTCTACCCCCCAACCCTCACCTCAATCACAACCCCCAAAACCCATCACCACCCTCACTTCCATAACCAAAGATTGATTCCCAAAATACCCTTCTCATCATACAGAAATAACAGGACCCCACCAGAGACAGAGTGTCCTGTCCCACTCGATCAGCAGCCTGTGAATGAGTACCAGTCACTGTCCTCTTCCTTCCCATTTTCATGGGCCTCCGGCGAATTGATCGAGTACTGTTCTCGCTTGTTTGTCACCGGAGCTTCGTTTGCCCTCTTCGTGGGTCTACCCGTTTCGTGGTTCGGGTCGGTTGGGCCAGAGTCGGAGCCACTGAAACGGGTCTTGGGTGCTGTTTCTAGTGGGCTCTTTGTGGTTACACTTGCTGCTGTGAGGATGTATCTGGGTTGGGCTTATGTGGGCAATAGATTACTCAGTGCCACTGTTGAATGTAATTTTCTTGGTTTTTTTTTGGTTGTTGGGCTCCTTTTGGTTTTATTGGGGGTTGATTTTGTGAATGTGGGTATTAATGGAGTCATGGTTTTCTCTCTTTGGTTGCAGATGAAGAGACAGGGTGGTATGATGGTCAGGTATTTCCAGTTTTTGTTAAATTATTATTATTGTTGTTGTTATTATTATTATTTTTTTACCAAATAAAATTGAGATTAAGGGATAAGGAGTACAAATGTAATCAAGCACCAAGGCTTGATACAAGCTGCAAGACCATACATAGTGGTTCTCAAGCTAGTCTAAGAAAATAAAGACATCCACAATTGAGGAGGCTAACTAAACAAAATGTCATATGTGTCTTGCGCTGTCTAATGGCAACTCCTCCAAAAGGCTTTCTTTCCAATGATGGTTTGCGAGATTTGGCTCCACATCCTTGGAACATCTTTGTTAGTGCAAGTTTTGTCGAAGCCAATTCCATACAATAGTCATCTATTAATTGGTCTGATTCATATGAGGCAAAGTTGCCCACTCCATCTTCTTCATGTTTATGAGCATTCCCTTCCATTTGGTTGTAAATAGATTTGATTTGGCTTTGAAGGGCAGATTGGTTGATGCTAATTGCTAGCTCTAAATTCCTAGATGATGAACTTGAGGTGGAGTGGTTTTCATGTTCTACCTCAACTTTATGGAGATCTTCTTGGTAGATTCACAATTTTCTTCATCTTGTAACACTGCAAACTGATTTTGAGAAGAAACTATCGTGTTAAAGGATGAAGACTTATCTCCAAGACTTGTTCCTAGCTCCAATGTAGGGAGGCATGATTGTGGCTTGATTGTACACTCTAGAGGTTCACCAAGGTCCTGATCTTTGAGGTTCAACTGGTTTTGTTTTGCCAGATTCACTGACTGTCAGTTATCTTTGGCCTTCTTTCTCCGAAGTCCTTGTTCCTTACTGATAAAAAATGATGTTTGGCTGCATGGGATTAGACTTTATCTCAAGCTTTTCCTTATTTTGCATGGTCATTCTACTTGATTTCTTGCTATGCATTAGAAGCCGTGGGCCAAAGTTTCCCATATTATTGTTCTGAAGTCCTTGTATTTGTCACTTGTTGCTTGTTATTATGACCAACATGGTCACATGTGAAGCAAATCTTTTTAAGGCCTTTCTACATAATCAGTTGTTTCTATTTGCCAATGAATATATGTAAGACCAGTAGTTTTCAGGTATCGATTTGAACACACATTCTTGCTAATCTCCCATGGGATATGTCTTCAGTTCTGGCATCAATCTTATTGAACCTTCCAATCCTGAGTCCTATTTTCTTAAGGACTAGAGATTCATAAAACTCAATTGATAATCCAAGCAGACAAATCCATAGCACATTGTATTTGCATCCGCAACTGATTTGGAATTCTGGCTCCCACTGTCTGACCCCAATAAACTGTTGTCCAAGGAACCATGGGCGTTCACTATAATATCCTCATGGTGTCTTTTTTTGACTGGAAACGAGTCACATAGTAGCCTTCTCCTAAAGCTATGCATTCCATTTTTTCTTTGGGTTGTCATAAGGCAGTCAACTTCCCAATCAAGTGATAGTTGTATGTACGCACATATGTTTTGAAAAGAAGAGCGTCTGTCCAAGGATACGTAATTCTAGCTTCATCTTTTTTGGATAGGACTATTTTGGGACTGCCTGAATCATCCTCAAATTTTCAAGTTTTTTTTGCCAAGTGGTGGCATAGATTTCTTTGGTGACTCCTGGGACCAAGGCATTCTTTTAGGAAATGTGAGGGGTATTTTGTAAATTAGGCCTTTCTAGTTGGCTGGTGAAGATGGATTTTCGGTTATTGGGGTAATTGAGATTTTGTTGCAAGGAATCTCGGGGAGGTTGTATGGGTTTTGGCATATGGTTCAGTTTGGGGTATGGGAGTGGTTTGTTTGCTTGGTCTGGTGGCTTGTCCAGTTCCCCCATAGCTGTCTCTAAGAGACTTCGGGATTATGAGTTCATGAGGCTTTTTGTCAAACAGTTGATATGCACTACAGAAGGTAATACAAGTGGCTTAGTGGAGGAGGATCAAAATGAAGGCATTTGTATTTAAAGATGGAATCACAGTTGAGAAAGGTGAAATTGTTCGTGATTGTAGTAGGAGATTGGTGGCTATGTTTGTGGGTTAGTTTGATTTACAGACTTAGGAGGTTGGGTGGTGTAGTATGATGAATGAAACAAGAAAACAGTAGAAAATAGAAGGAGAGGGAGGATAGGTTTCTATAGTAGAAGAATAGTGGAGCTTCCACCAGAAACCACAAGGGGGTAAAATGGGATTGACAAATGTTAATAAACTACGAGGGGTGTAAGTATAATTTTTCTTCAAACAAGGAGTTAAACAATGATGTGGTTGACTATATGGCCAAGAAAAAAAAATGCAAATTTATATCTATTGAGATATAGCACCCCATGCAACATAATTGTTCAACTAATATTCATCCCTTACATTAGAGTTATTGCAATGATGAATCTAAAATGAGATTTATTCAACAGATATGGGTGAAGACTGCTGAAGTTTTGGCTCGTGACCGGCTCTTAGGTTCATTTTCAGTAAGTAATTGATATTGGCACCAGCTTTGTACAATTGAAGTATTGACTTTTGGCTTTGTGATGCTAAGAATCTTAGGGGTGGCAATTTTCCACTTTACTAATATAGCTAGAATTGGACACAAAATTAATGGGTTTGTCTTATGTCATGTCTTATATGGGTTGACATGATTAATCTTCATTAAACAAGTCATTCTTTAAAACTAGTAGTTTATTTCTTAAAATCACATCATTGTTCCCTTATTTGAATGCCTTTGGTCAGATCTAGTTCCCTGATATCCACTGCAGTTTAATTCAGAGACAACTTGATTGCAAATACATTGGATGAGAAATTGTCTGCGTGAAGTTCAAATGTTCAACTCAGGTGCCTTCATTTCTGGTTTTCCTACAGGTGAAGCCTGTGCTCAGCAGATTGAAGAATACACTGGTGGTTCTTGCTACATCGTTACTTGTATGTGCGCTCGTCTTTATCAATACTGAGGACAGCCAAAAGAACCCTTATGTATCATCAGAAGAAGCTGGTGGTAAGGCTGTACCTGGAGTTTACAACGAAGAGTCTGCCAGATCCTTTGAGGCCGACGCATTTTGTGGTGAACCTGGTATTCCTTAGTTGCTGGCATGTAGACAACAGCCTTTACCACTCCATATAATGAAGTATATATTATGGTGTCGATAAGTAATTTTTCAGTGGTGTAGTTGGATCCAATATGATAGTTATGTACAGTTTTCATTACTCTTTATGCATTGTTATTGGGTGTCCCCTGTTCTTGTTTTAGGAAAGTGTTGTCTAGTGGTGTAATGTTGCAACATGATTTAGTAAATGGATTGATGTAAAAATACAAATATGAATATATGAGCCTTGACAATTGTTGATGTCTCATCCTCTTACCTTGCTACTCATTCCCCACACCAATGAACCTAAATTCAACCTACTGATTGATGTGGGAAAATGAAGGGACCCGACAATGTCAACCTGATAAGTTTCTTTGATCTCTCTTTATTATTATGTTTAGAATCTGTATCCATACAAATTTTACAGACACTTTATCCACCAGTGAAATATGCACGAAATACATGCAAGATCATAATTATAACCATCTTAATTGCTGACAATCAACTAACTGATCCGATTAATCAATCCAAATGACCTTCAATCATTATATATTGAACAAACATAAAAAGCCTGAGCAATGATCAGACGACAGTAAAAAGTCAGATACAGATGGTACCTCGGTGTTCAGTCTCAGTCTTCAACCTCGGTGTTGAAAACAAAGCTTGGAAATGCAGTGGCAATGTCCCTAGAGGTAAACGAATTTATCAACAAAGTGAAATCATGACAGCTGATGTGGTGTATAAATGACAATTAGAGAGCACCCTCTTCACTATATGCTTAATCTAGCCGAGGGCGGCCCAATAAAATGTGGGGCCTAAAGGCCTGCTCAAAGTAGTTAAAAATATTAATTGTATCCTTTTTTTTTTTTTCGCATGGTAGGTTACAAAGTATAAATTTTATTATCATTAATGCTCAGTTTGATAGGTAGGATGAAAAATATGAAAGATAGAAGTAAGAGGAATACATTTTCTATCCTTCAAGGAAAGAAAGTAAGAATGATACACTTTCCTTCTTTTGTATTTAGTTGAATAGATGAAAAATAAAAATGACTAATTTTTTTTTTTTTTTTTGTATCGGCTAAGATTAGGATTAGGAGTGACAATCGAGTCGTATCGTGTTAAGTCATTACAGCTTTGTGTCGAACATTAGTCACACCTAACTCGACTCATTTAACTAATTGTGTCGTATTGAATTACGAGTTTACATGTTTATTTTCGTTTCGTGTCGTGTTCGTATTCGAGTTAATCAAGTTCGTGTCATAAAATCCGTGTCGAGTTCGAGTTGTGTCATTGTGTTAGTTAAAAAATTTTACCCCTAATTAAAATGGGAAATATATTTTTTTAATTTTTAATTTTTAAAATTATTTTTAAATTTTTTTTAAAAAAAAAATATATATATATATATATATATATATAAATACATATTTTATCATTGTATTTTTATATGAAATTAATGTATACATAATATATGTATAAATAAAAAGATATATAAACAAATAAGATACATCTCGACACAAATAATTAACTTTCCGTCCGATTTTGAAAGGATTGATTTTGATAAGTTGGAAAGAAAGTTGATCCATCTACTTTTTCATCCTTCTTACTTTCCACCTTACCAAACATGATGTTTTATTTATCTCTCCAACTTTTTATCCTTCCATTTTTTCATCATACCAAATGGAGCATAAAGATATTAGTCTCACATTTGTCTAGGGGTCATTATTGAACATGAGTCTTAACATTTTTGGTACTAGATTTCTAAGAGACCTTAAAAACAAAATTAGGTCTAAAAATTTTATTTAGGGATTGTCGCATTTATTTAGGGGCCCCAAAACTAGATCTCAACTAAACTAAATCTGGGTCTAAAATCAGTCCTATCAAATTTTTAGAGGGCCCTAAAAACAAAATTTGAGTTTAATTGATTGTGGTCTAAATCAAAAAAATAAAACTGGTTCAGTTGACTCTCAAGTCTAAATAATGTATTGGAGGCTCAAAATAGGGAATTGTATTTAACTGAACACAAGGTTAAAAAAAATTTATTTGCGATCCATAAAATAAAATTGGACTCAATTGCACCTAGATTTAAAAAATTAAATTGAGGCTCAAAAAAATTTGAAGTCCTAGGCGACCACCTAAGTAGCCTAGCATATGGGCCTGGCCATGAATCTTGCAGAGGGGTCTCTATTATGGAAACATTGAGTTCTTCTTACTTATATGGAGATTTTTTCTTTTGGGTCGAGTTTGAGTGTGTGAGGGGGTGTTGGGGAGGGGGGAGGACTGACGTGACTTGAATAGAAACAGACAAAAAGAAAGGGAAGGAAAGACTGGAAATGTAACTATGGTAGATATATGCTATGGAAATATTGAAAGAGTAAGTGAAAAAATTGGAATAAGGGTGGAAATGTATACTTCAAACAAGGAAGAGTCATGTTCCTCAAGAGGGTGGGATTCCGAAGAGCAAAAGCCTTCCATTCGTCTTTATCGATTTTACCATCCCCATCAGCATCAGCATCAACAAATGTCTGTTGAAAAGATGAAGATCTGACAATTACAATGTGCTCCCTAAATGATGCAATTCTAGTCGTTACTATTTATTTCTTCCTTTTATTTGGGAAAAGCTGGGCGGGGAGACCTTCAGGCGATACAAACTTATACCTTGTCAATTATAGCCTCAACAATATCATCAGATAGCTTCAATTCAAATTCCAGCAGGATTGCAATGACCATTTGCTTAACCTGACAATCAAAGTTATGAACATGAGTTTACAGAATAGACACGGTTATGATGTAGGAATAAGGATAACTAATTCATGGCTTAATTTTCAAAATATTTTGATCTCTGAACTTCAGTTTATAATTTGTCAATACGAATGGAACACCACCGACGGATTTCAGATAGTGAGAAATTAGATGGAAAGAAAAGAATATGCATTTTTCTTTGGGATCAGCATTCAACAATCATGTTTATCTGACTTCCACTTCTATTCTCTCTCTCTCTCTCTGCACACACACAAACCTACCCAAATTCATTACGAACTCCAACAGGTATACATATAAAATTAATTCCATACCATGGTACCCCACCAACCAACGCAAATTTTGTTCAATCTAAAGAAATTTTTCCATCTCATCATTCCTATTGGTTGACATAGAACACAAGCATACCAAAGAATGGCATGTCAAATATGGGACACACAATTGGACATATCCTTGACAAGTATCTGAGATCCCCATATCTAACAAGTTCAGGTTGTCGTTAAAGAGGATCAGGTTACCATGGAATCAAACATTTATTCTCCCAGGATATTTCATCAAAAGTGAAGTCAAAAATATAATGCCCCCAATAAAACAAGATAGTGCATAAAGCTCAACTTTATTTGTGGCATCTAATTTTAAACAGAAATCTACAAGCAGCCTTAAGAATCAGATAAGTTATAGCCCACGGCAACAACCAGCAAAGACCCACATTTGTTAAAGCATGTGTTTGCTTGGTTATTAGATGTCAAAACAACTGCTGAGCATCATAGTTACAGGGCAGAATACTCACGTCTTCTCGCTCAATGAAACCAGTTTCCCTCAGATCATAAAGCCTAAATGCAACTGCAAGACATCCGAAGGTAGGACAAATGGTTTATATTCATCATATGGCTTTGTATGTATGACATGGAAACTGGTTGAGTTATCTTACAATCCACTTTGTCTTCAATAGGGGCACAGGGATGAAAGAAATTGAGTGAATGAATAAATTCATCGAATTCAATGACACCATATCTCTTTTCATCAAAAAGATCAAAAACCTAGAAGAGCAAAAGCAACAGTTAGATAAGGACATTAACTTACATAAGATAGAAATCTGCTTGCAAAATAGCACCGATGGACAAAAATGTTGTACTGCAATTCATACCAGATCATGGAGAATAGTGTTCCAATTCATTTAGTACTTGTAAGCCAATAGATTTAAGAATCAGTTATATGTTTTCAGAAATTAGAACAAATAAGAAAAGGAAAAATAACAATTCATAGCAAGCAGTGTTAGGATTATGTTTGTAATTGACTAATTTGTTGAAGTCCTTTTGTAAATCTCAACCTATTCCATGCTCATGATGATACAACATTAAAGATTCGAAAGTGTCAATAGAAAAAAGAAAATTGTACTTTAAGCTACGTCAAGAGATTATCCGCATGCACTTTCTTGCTTAAGACAAAGATAATAACTTAGAGACCTTAATACCATTGGTTTAATTTATTAGACTTAGGTTTGATTAGGTAAAATGGAATTGGTGATTGTTCTGGTAATGACTCCTAGGTATTTTTCAAGAATAAATAGAAAAATGTATTGAAAATTTAGACTTGAGTCATTAATCGGGCCCCACTTGAGCAACATTAAAGGGGACAAGTTTTTGCTTAGTTTATAGTTTAAAAATCAGTAGCGACTACCCTATGCTCGCTAACCTCCACTAGAGCAGTCTCTGAATACTTAAGAATAAAATCGGGAAAGACTGAACGAGTGGACATTGGAGACCGCCCTCTGGATTGTTCTCAGGTTGCTCGAGCTATCTCTACTTTATTGCCTTAGTTTGAATTGTTTTTTAATTCCAACAGCTACCGCCCTCCCACTGCTCGTGAATTTGTGTTTTCTTAGTCCCCAAGACAAACCCTATTCCGAGCCTATAAATAGAAGGAGCATTCATGTGAGCTTATTTCTTATCTTTCATGTGAGCTTATTTCTTACCTTTAAACCTTGAGAGATCATTGAGTATGCTTCTTGAGAGTATTTTCTACATATCAAAAAACCTTGAGAACTTGTGAGCAGCTTCCCGATCTCAATCTTTTCCCCATAGATTTCTAAATCTAAAAGACCAAAACTCATCTTCTGATTCCTGTCCAACATCACACAGTGGAAAACAAAAACTTGCTTGGTTCTACCAAACCCACTTGAAGAATGTGTATACCGAGATTCTTGGGTACATCCTACGAGCGTTCAAGGCTTAAAAGAACAGTGCGATGACGAGTTCGGGTGAAGCTATCCATGATATCGGTGGGTGTATCCGATTGAGAGATTTATTAAAGGAAAGGTGCGTCTAACTATAGTATTGGTTGAGGTATAAAACTTGAGTACTTGTAAATTAACTGTGGGATAAAGAATTAGGTTTTGGTAAATCCCAAGTAGTTCCTAGTGATTTTTCTCGATTCCGCATCAATAAATCGTCTGTGTTTTTTTATTGTTTTATTTAATACACTTAAGATTTATAGCACATACGGACACCATGTATTTGATGTTATGATTATGTGAATGTTCATATCGTCCGTATTGGTTTGATAATGGGTTGCTGTCCCGGGTTGGGACCGCTATGAGTATTTAAGTGTTAATCGATAACATATTCATGACATTAATTATCATGGGCTTAATGGCTTGTCCTTGTTGAAGGAGTTCTCAAATTATTAATTGCTAAATTATTTTGAGAAAATGTAATTGTTAGGACTGTCAACGAATCCAATCGAATAGAATCTATCCAAATCCGAATCCAATAAAAAATTCAAGTTTCGAATCCGATTCGTTTACCCGACGGATTTCAAAATCTTAATCCATATCCACATCCGTTAATAATCGAATATCCAATCTGATTACCCGATCCAATTTGAATCCCAACAAAATTTTATAAAAAATTAATAATTTTACCAAATTTAAGTTAACTTGTAACATAATTTAATAAATCAATCATTTTATTCAATAATTTTTGTTTAATTTCATATCAATCTCATTAATAATCTAACTAAGTATCTCTATATATATACAATAAGTTTTCTCACTTAAACATACATACATATATATATATATATATATTTTAAATTTTTATCGAATCAAATTTACATGTATCCAAATTCAAATCCGTTTAAAGAAACTTAATCGGATTTGGGTAAATAAATTAAACTATTAATCCATATCCAGTTAAATGGACTCGAATTCAAATTATAATCCGCTCCATGACATTGCCAGGTCTGGTAATTGCGGTAGACATAAGTTGAAATTTAGTGGTTGTCCAAGCATAATTTTAATTAACCTATTCACCCCCTCTAGGTAATGTCTAATCACATGTGAGTAATCGTAAGGGGACAATCCATTCCACATAGGGATATCGTTTTTGTCCTTACAAATAGCATACATTAAAATGAGAAATAACACTCCTCGTCAACATCATCAAAATGCAAAAGTTCTGTAATAGAAAGTTTCCACTAAGCTAACCTCTAAGAATATTTCCCTAAGTTAACCTCTAAGAATATTTCCATTAGTATTAAAAATAATGAGTGCTTCTGTAATCATCAATAAGGACCTACCTAAATCAAATGACTTAGAAGGAGGAGAAACATAATAGAAAGAAACAAGCATGTTTCCTCGTTCTGTTTTAGGGATATTAGAGAACAAAAAAATGCGACTGCTTGCTCTACCCATCTTAGCTTCAAAAAAGATCATTTAGGCTAGAAATAAACCAGAATTATTACATCCAAGATTGCTATGGATTTGAGTCAAAACAGGAACCATTGGGTGTTATTGGCTGGATAAAAGTGCAAACCACCGAACTCTAAATTATACCACATCTTATCATACACGTTTTTGGCATGATATCAAACAAATCAGGATATATTGTATTTGACAGGACTTTAGGCGGCTCAGTAGTCCCCAAATCGACAAATGGATAGTTATAGCCGTTATAGAACTCAAAAGGCGCCGGGAGATAGCGTCGAGGAGTAATGACTCAGAGGAGCCGAGTAGACCGGCTGGGACCAGCATTTAAAGAGATATGACAGCTTATTAATGGAGACTTGAGTGAGTATGACTGGGCTATTACTAAGCCTCTGCATCCTCGAGACCCAAACTGACAGTCATAATGGCAAAACTTTAAAAGTCATTGCGCCGACCCGATGTCCTCGAAAAACCCCGAGATGCTGTTCATTGCGCGTTAAACACTCCGGAGTAGGTGTCAAACGCCGATCAGATGGACTTAAATGACGGAGGAGAGGGTCATAAGTGCTCGGGATGCTCCGAGCAGTCATCCCACCGTCCGAGTGAACCAGTCATGAGAATCTGAGTGGAGAACACTCATTACGCATGGATAAGGGTACAAGTCATTAAATGTTGAGATGGTACTCCAAACCCTTGCACTCATTACTAGTTCAAGTATAAATACTCCTCAGAAAGATGAACAAAGGTACGAAAAACTAAACTGAGAAAAAATACTGTGCGAAAGTCTCCGACGCTTACAGACTTAAGTTTCGGAAGGGATAACCCGGGTATTCACCCGATCCCTTTCCTAACCTTTTGGTTGTTTCAGGTTCATCATCTAAAGCATCACTATCTCTATTCATTACAGAAATTCTCCCGTGCAGTATTCAATAGTAGAAATCCAAACCCATTTAACTCGAGATACTGGCACTAGTAAATGAAATTTTTTAATTTTCTAAAATATTCAACAGGTAGTTCAGGCTCCGAAAACAAGTATAGCTTCCCTAGTTTTCCACAACTGTCACAGACCGGATAAAACAGCTTCATCCAAAACTAATGAAAATGAAGAAAAGAATGAAAAAGTAATCAATGTCAGCAACCTAGGAAGCATGGATACGGAGACGGGAATACAACAAAATTAAAAAATATAAGACACGGGTATAATAAACATAAGGCTAATTAAAATAATATTATATTTTTTTAGAGAATAATAAAATTATAATATATAAAAAACAAAGCATATTTTATAATTATATTAATAATAACACCCAACAAATATTAATTTTTTGATTAAAATTGAAATAGATCAAAATAAATATACACAATTTTCATCGAACATCATTATATCCATTAACATTCATAGTCTATAAGTTACATAACAAAAAACACACAAAAAATAAAGAAATCACAACCCTCTTAATAATTAACAATCTTTTGTACAAAAAAAAAAAAAACCATGGTCGTATCCGACTGAATTCACTATTCAGGATACTTCTAGCCATGTCGAACACGTATCAATCATAACAATCACAAAGCTTCACGTCCACAAAAATGAACCACCTATGACCGTGACTTTCCATGAATGTAAATTTCCCATTTTGAGAAAGGTTATCCTATGGGCTGGATCTCAAGGGCAAAAAGGTACTTCCGGTTTATTCAAACGGCTAAAGACCTTAAGTTTGAAATTGAATCCATTAAACTCAGTGAAGATATGTAGGGGTACGACTGGTTCGAGCTGACTCAGGACCACAAGCCTGGGACCAATTTATGGATGGTCTAATGATGCGCTATAGAACTTGAGGCTATACAGATGTACATGCTACGATTTCTAAACTTCAGCAAACATCAATCGTTGCTGAATATTAAGCACGTTTCCAATGTCGTTCAAACAGCAAAGATTGGACTGGTCGATAACCCATTGGAACATCCATCGAAGGCGTTCAATGAGATATCAAGCCTAAACCCAAAATGCACAAGCCTCAAAACTTGTCATTAACAATGCTTTTTCATGCTTACAGGAAGAACAACTAGGGAATGAAGGTAAATGTCCCTTCAAAGGATCAACTTTCCCATCCTCATGAATCAAACCAGCTCCACATGACCTCTACCTAAGGCTTTACCAATGCAACAGTTGACTTGAGCAGAAGTGAATTTGAGATCAGCTTCTGGCTTTGCTGGAATTGTGATGAAAAATCTCAGAAGGCCAAAGCTGCAATCACAATTAAGATTTCTAATAGGCCAAATCTAATCTGAAAATGGAAATGCAGAGGAAGGGATTGAAGATGACCACAAGGAGGAAGGTGACCAGGATCCAGACCTACATAACACTGTTAGAGTGTCGCAGATTCCAATAATAAAGTAGCTGGTTACAAGAAAAAACTGGGAGTGATTGCAGAATCTAGGGGGAAAAACATTTAATTAAATTCCCTAGATGGGATCAAATCAAGTACACGCAATCACATTTCTTCATGTCCTAATACAAGTTCAAGTGCTCGGAACACCATTTCTTACTATTCCTAGCAATCATGCAGACACCTTATCCACGAAATCAGGACTGAACAATAAGTTGTTTCAAGTCACTTACTCGGTCCAGAAAAAGGCTCTCACCATGTGGAGTTCTGAACAGTGCTAACTGAAGCTCCTCCTGTAAGATAATAAATACCAATGAATGCATTAACGAAGGAGATTGAAATTTGATTAACCATAACCTTAGATGATTGAATGAAAAATGGCAATTCTAGCAAAAATTAATTGTGACAAGTTATATTAATGCAAGCTGCTACTTAGTTCCAATTATCATTCATAGTTTTTGGACAGTTACATCAAAAGAAATACTAATACTGGCAAGGTATGCAAACACACCGAATATACACACAGGATACGATACGGACACGAAACGGACGTGCCGACACAAAATTAATTTTACATTTTGGGCACGATACAGAAGGACACATCTATATATGACTTTGTGTGCAGGTGTGAACATATACTGCTATACACCTATGTAATGTAATATACATTTTTTTTTTCTTTTTTATTTGGGGGGGGGGGGGGGAGGGGGCTTCAACCCTTGACCTCAAGAAGGCAAAACCTTTACAAGGTAAGAAATACCATTGGACCAAAGAATAACATGTAATACAATATACATGTTCATATATAAATACTCATAAATTGTAATCAAATACAAGACATTGATCTACTATTCAGAGTTTCAAACATTGCTTACTTTGACAACACCAATATAGGATCCAACAAAAGAAAGTCATAAAATCAAAACTGAACAAAAAACATTAATGAAAATGGAAGCATGCTTGATATGTCAAGTGAGTGTAAGGTATTGGAAAATAGCGAGGTCATTGGATGATATGATGGTATGAGACCGGCTACCATTGTGTCTAGTGAGGCGGTTTCGTGTTAAAAAATACTTCACGCATACCCAATTTATTTATTAATTACTGTCTAATAAATTGTATCATATCGAATCCATGTTGTGTATGAATCATGTATAACTGGTATATAAACGAGTTGTATCGTCTATTTCTTTTAATTGACTTTATTCATACCTGATTAATTTATTAATCATGTCGTATCGCGATCACTCATTTACAAAATAAATAGCTTAAGAAAAACTATGTTGCGGAAAAGATCCTAGGAATCGAATTTGGACCGATATTAACACTCACACTCAAGTAAAAAAATAAAAGAACAATCACACAAGACAAAACAATTTACGTGGTTCAGCCTACATCCACGACAAGTACGATCAGATATTTTCACTATTTGAAGTAAAACAGGAGTACAAGACACTTATTTCAAACATCACAAATACTTGCTCGAACAAAAGAAGATCATTTTGCTATCTCACTAGCACCACTCACGGGTTTGATAACACTCAAATTGATAGCAAAATATCACTCAAAGAAACTTTCATTTATTACTTGAAGCATTGAACACTTCAAGCTCTGATGTTTGAACTCATTCAAGCTTCCGATGCCTTGGACACTATCCTGAGCCCCTCCAAATATGAGAGGAAATAGATAATACAACTTAATCTACGCATGATTAAGCATTCCACGCGCAGCCCATTTCTCTCGACTTTAAGCCACTCTTCCTTTGGAAATTGAGGCCCAACTTTATCTTCTGGTCAAAGCCTTAAAAGCTGTCAAGCCACAAAAGTTAACAGACTAAACCCTCTAATTTCATGTCATGTTGTGTCGAGTCATATTTTAACACCCCTAGTAATAGATAGTATTTCTACACTCCTCCCTTTCTCTTTTCCTCTTCCCTAGTTTTCTTTTCAAATCCAATGTTGGAAGGTTGTAACTTCCTTTCCTTCACGTCTTCCAAATTATTTTCACTTTCTCGTCAAAATAAAAAACATGTCATAAATATGTCCCCCATGTATCCAAAATTTGTTCCCATCGTGCAAGATTTTTGTCTCCTAGACATTTAACATGACCAGAAGGAGTTGGTGTCTGTCATTGCTGTACAGGCCTAGGATAGATAGGCACACATGCTACCTAGCTTGCATCATTAATAACTCAGCTTTACAGGCAGAAGGATCTACATAAAGTGATTCATACTATTTAAATTGGCCTTAGTACCACTTAACCAATAAGTAAATGCATTCTTAGTTCCTACCAAAAACAGGTGTCCACAGCTTCAATGAGAAACAACAAGGATACATTAAATACACAAAACAAACTAACTTATTGTTCTTCAGCAAGACAAAGGACAAAAAAGGCCAGCAAATTGTTTCCTAAAAACAGTATATCCGGATCCTCATAGGCCATCTGTCAACTACTTCTTAAAAAGAGGCACTTGACATGTTCACGTGAATAAAGAGAGGCAACAAATTCTAGCATTACAGCATTGATTGAACTCCCAAAACACTCTTATTTGAGGAAAATGTTAGACAAAAGATACATAGATTTACTCAAGCGCTGCCAATGTGATGACCTCAATCTTAATTTCTAATAAACTTCAAGCGGTCACGGGTCATCCAATTACAATCAAAAGACCTTAAGGAAACATCTCACATTCTTCTACACCAATTGGTACAAGAATGTAAAACTGAAGCCAACCTCTATCTGTTGAGAAAGGAAGGCAGAAGACACTAGCTGTTGTTTAATTTTACCACCATACATTGAATATTAAAAGAATGACGTTCTTGAAAGGCAAAAACATACTTTTTTTTCAAAGCCCTTTTTTAGGCCAACAGAAAAAGGATGGAAATTCCAATCATCCCAATTCATTACGATCAAAGTCGGTACAACATATCTTCAATCCAACTGCTCTCCTACCAAACCAATTGTTCTCAGGTTATTTTCATTCATTAAAAAAACCATTAAAACTGCCAAGTTGCACATTATATGGAATTGCCACAAAATTTCCACCAAGTAAAATCCTTGACAAAGAAAGAGCAAAATAAAATTAAGTGCACTTTATTTTAATTTTTTTTAAAAAAAACAAACTAATTAACAATATTCAAGAAAACACAATAATACTAAAATATACCAACAGAAACTAATAACAAAATTAAAAAAAAAAAAACTAAAATCTACCAAGACAACCTGTCAATACTTCTCAAATACTAAGTCTACCTTGTGTATTAATCCATCGTCAACAATTGAGCTACTCAATTTCTTAAACAGCTCATACAATGCCTCCACTTCGTTCACACTAACTGCAACACCAACAATCAACACAACACCCACATTATTCTATTTCAAAAATCAAAACAATTAATCGAAACAAAAAACGGTAACAACAACCTTACATCGAGATTCACGGGCGAGTCGAACGAGATCCTTGTGTTCGTATTTCAATTTATTTGGGTGTTGGCAATCAAAACAACCGGAGACAAAGTAGATCAAAGCTTCAATTATCGCGATAAACGGTATGAACGCAGCACAGATTCGCTCCCCAAACGTAAGAGAGCTCGAACTCTGTTCATAATTAACACCACAGATAACAAAAAAAAAAAATCAAACCATTAAACTACAAACTCATTCTATAAGAATTCACTATGATACATGCATGTATATACATACACATGTATGTATGAATTTACCAAAGAATTGTTCGTTGAATCCATGGCGCCGTGATGCAACTCCTCAGATTTTCTCTCTCTAAAGCATTGGCAAACGAAGGCCACCCATCTGGGGCACTAAATTGCACTTTCTTACGTACAAAACATGAACGAGTTTTCCAATAAGGTGACGACGATAAATGCAGAGAGAGTCGTGTGGGAATGAATATAACGAAAAAGAGTAAATTACACGAACCCCCTCAAACTGTGTGAATTAAGTTCTAAATTTTTTTTATATCAATTAAACCCTTAAACTCTCTAATTATATCAATTAAACCCTTCTATCCACCTCCGTTAGATTTTTTAACGAAAAGTGGAGAAGTGTGTCACTCAAATAACATAAATAGTTTGAGTAAACTATATATATGACCTTTAAATTATGTCATTTATGTCACTTAAATCCCCAAACTTTTTTTGTGTCAATTGACCTCTTGAATTCTCTAATTGTGTCAGTTGAATTCTTTGTGTCATATAGATATGTGAGTGGCATGCTCTAATAGAAGTAGACATAAGAGCTCAATTAACAAAATTAGAGGTTTAAGAGCTTAATTAACACAAAATAAAAAATTTAAAGACTTAATTAACATAAAAATTATAAATTGAAGATTATATATATAATTTATTCTAAAAAAAATGTTGCAATTCAAATACATATGATTGATGAATAGGTCCCACTAATAATATTACGATGAATTTTTTGGTATCTACCTCAATAACAAATTTTATGAGTTTTTTTTAATAAAATTTAAGAATTATGTATAATTTTTTATAATCATTTTATAATTTTTAAAAATTGACGGTAGGATACCCTTTTTAGGGGTACATTAATCTTGTCCCATCGGTCCATCACATTATTATTACTAGTTGTGAAATGAATTCTGATTAATTATCTTAATCATTTAGGAGGCGATAATGTAAAACCAATTGAGTTAACTACATAAATGACCCCTCTAAATTACGTCATTTTGTGTTGATTTAGTTCATAAACTAATTTTTGTACTAATTCAGCTCCTTAAGTATGTAATCTGATTTATTGTGATCCTTCTTGATAATTTTTAGTGAACACATCGTGTGGTTCAAGTATTACGATAGTTAAAATCATACTCGTGGTATGCACCTAAGTTGGCCAGTCAAAGATAACAATAAATTTGGACAGAACAGTTACATTAAATCAAAATGCACAACTGATGGGCTAAATTGATGCAAAAATTAGTTTCCGGACTTAATTAACATAGATAATATAAGTTAGTAGTCATCCGTACAGCACCAATTATTTATTTATTTTTTCAATTTAACCATCAGAGTGTTTGTGCTAGTTTACATGCGCTTCAATTAATTCTTTTTTTAATCTGGTCAAAAACAGGTCATTTACGTTGAAATTAGGATTTTTATGAGGGATAAATCATTTATAACCTAACTTTTAATGAATTACTAAAATTCAAATTCAAGAACGTATTAATAGCATAATGTTGGAGTTCTTAATTTAGGGGGTGTCCACAAATCCGACTGATATAAAATTCGAGAATGATACAATCAATTAACACAAATGATAAATAAGTCAAAATAAAGTTAAAATAAATAACACAATTAATGGGTAATTTAGATAAAGAGATATTAAACAAATAATAAGGTAAGCATCATACTATTACCATGCATCATCCATATTTTTATACTATTTTAGTTGATTAGTGTGCTGTTTACACGTAGCAACTTAGATATTAGACATATTGAAACTTTCTTGTTTTAAATGATGCCTTGATGTTAATAAAACAAAAAAGAATGATAAAGTCAAACAATTATTAGGTTAGTTTTCAATTAACAATGATTAAAAGCACTTGAATAAATTACACCCGAATCCCTTAAATTTTGTATGCATGTAATACTTAGACTTTTTAAGTTTAAATATTATACTTAAACTAAAAATACTCCAATTAAAAATAGAATATCAAATATTTTAAATTTTGTAATTAAAATTCATGTTATATTATGATATTTATAGAAATAAAATCAAAAATTTAAAACTAATTTTTTTTCTTAAAAAATCATAATTAGTTTACGATTATATTATCTATTAGAATTTAATTTGGTCGTTTAAACGATTGAACCCCAAAAAAGTAAGTAGGTCTGTCAATCGTGTTGGGTGAAAAAAGTTTGTGTTGAATTTTAGTGGGTTCGTGTCAAAAAATATCTTATTCATACTTGATTCGTTTATTAATTTTTATTTAATGAATCATGTCATATCATGTTTGTGTTTTGTATATAATCGGTGTATAAATGAGTCATATTATATATTTCTTTTGACTGATTTCACGCATACACAATTCATTTATTAATCATGTCACGTTAGATCCACTAATTTACGAAACTGATGGTTTAAGAAAAATTCATACCCCCTAATTACGTGTTGCGTTCGTATCGTGTGAAGTAAGATTCATGTCCATCAATTTGTTAATTAGTTCTGGTTGGGCAATCTTTTAAGAATTTAAAATCATTAATGCCAAACTCCTACTCCATAAATTTATGTCAATTTCGTATCGAATTATTCCATCATTGTGGAAAAAAAATTATCTATCTTAACAAGCGGCCCATAATTTTTTATTAAACCATGATCGGTTAGCCCTTCGATGGAAGATTTTTAAATTAAACAATCAATTTCTTAGCCCTTACGTGGATGAGCAATGTTATTGAAACCTAATTTATTAATCTAATTTATTATGATTCGGATTGACTGTGAGACGTATCAAATATTGAGACTTGAAAATGATATAAAATCAGACCTTATTATACTTAGTGATTAACTATATATATTTCTATATATCCATATATAAATAAAAGTGCAGCATGAGTAAGAAGTTGGGCTTCACGTAGCATCTTTTTCACTTATGAACCAAATTTTTGCTAATGAAAGGGTTCTAAAACCTTTCAAGACTAATAAGTAAGGTAATCTCTTCATTGGTTTCATTCAATATATCTACAACCTATTGGCTGATCAATATTCTCGCTTACATTTAATCAATTTCATCCAATGACTTACGAGAAAGATGCTTAGTCGCTAAAGCATAGTTAACACACATTTCTTTCTGGTGTATGCAACATGGATCTATGCTAACTTCCCATAACCTAAAACAGAAATAAATAGTGTTCATTATACTAATTTTAAGGATTCAAATCTTTACAAAAAAAAAAAAAGCATATTGTTTTTCAAAAGGGGAGAGGAAAGCACTTTCATGTTCGTTCCAGTTTATGCGCATTTCAATTAATTTTCTCTCCCGTCCAGTCAAATGTAGACGATCCACGTCCGAAATATGATATTTATAAAGGGTAAATTCTTCATGGCCTGACCTAATTTATTTATTTTTGGTCAGAATATGTCTTCTTGTTGGTTGCGTGTGTAAAAAATATCACCTATATTATCTAAATCACGTGGCTCTGGCCTAGAAGGGGAATCATTTATTTATGTTCACTACATATGTCCAAGCAATTTGAGACAAAAAAATTGCAATATTTGACCACAATGTTATGAAACAAGTTCCATCATGTGTGTCCCTAGAAATGAAACAATGCTTTGTGACAACTCTAGAACCATGTGATGTTAAGGTACTAGTATGAATTGTATGTTTTTTGGTTTGCTAACTAGGAGAGACATAGGAGGAAGCAACTCAGAAGTTTCGACTATTGGATTCTTGGTTTACTTGTTCATTATTTGGTATTATGCATAGTACATAGTTTCTTTTCCCTATATCCTAATGAATTTAGCATACCAGAGAGGGTATGGAGAATTGGAGATCGAGATCGTTAAAGAATCAGGGATGGTCGAATTTAAATCTTATATTCGATAAAGATTAGTCTTTGTCTTCACACAAATATTTTTACAAGACTTAAATCCCGACCATCCTATTGTGAGATAAAAGGAACTGTAAGATAAAAGGAATCGTGAGACAAAAAGAACCATGATAATATCATACGAGGTTTGAATTATGATCTTCCTATAAGAAGAGAGGAATTTGCCTTCTAAGCTGCCCACCCGGAGGCGGAGCTAAGAACTCAATTTAGGTTGGGCCCTATCTATGGAAATCGATCACCAAAAAAAAAAAAAATGAGGTTGATTATATAACACTAAATGTGAAATTACAGATAAATCACAACTTATATTCTCAGGAATAAAAATACTATTGAAGAAAGAAAAACTAAACAATGACAAACTTTATGAGTAAAAGGATCAAGAGATTTAAAAAAATATGGTAGTAGTATCGCCAATTGCCATATTTCAAATAAATAAAAATCATAATTTGTTGGGGGCATCACACAATCATCGGAGGGTAGCGCAGTTACCGATCACACATTTTCTTCTCTTGGTTTTGCCATAAATCTCAATTCCTACCTTGATTTTTTATAACCATGATTTTTTATATTGTTTCAAAATGATTGAATATTTTGCTACTAAATGACCCTAATTTCACATAATAACAAAAAAGATCAAGTAATTTTATTAAAAAACATAAAATGACCACAATATATAGGTCTAATGTTGTTAAAATATTTGAAGGTGGGTCGGAGAACACCCTAGGCCAAGGGTGGCTCCACCCATGGTGATTCTTATTTGGTAGTTTTATTCATTACCATGTATCGGAGGATTTGAGCTTATTAGGTTTTTTGATTTTATGTAATTCTGTAATGATTTTAGACAATTTGTATGTTATCTTTGTGTCTTCCATTAAAGAAGTTGTGTTTGATACTCCAACTCCATGTTTAAAATTAAAAGATATTCTACACTTTTTCATTTAGTGTGTTTGAGAAGCAAATCTCAAATCATTTGCAAATTTAAGTATCATTTAAAAATAGATTAAAATTGTACGTAACAACTTACACATTTATCATTAGATGCTAAATATGCTAGAGAATAAGGATTTTATAAATTTTTTATGATGAGTCAATTTACCTACAAATGCTTTGATTTCAAGTCATCTTGCACTCTAACTTTCCACTACATACTCCAATGTCACTGATGTTGTTGCCACCATCATCGTTGTTGACCCTATTAACACTATCACCATCATTGTTGCCCACTCGCCACCACAACTGTCATTGTTTTGTCGCTCTTCGTCATCACAACTGCCATCGTGACCATCACCCTTCCACATTGACCTGTCTTTATTATGGCATTCATTATCCAAACTATCACCTCATCACCGTTGACACCATCCTACACTCATCACAACCTTACCACAATTGCAACCATTACCATTGCCACAGTCACCATTACTCCACAAACTCATCACCCAATTACATCCACCCTCACTACTCCCTGTCATTGCCACCGCCCCTACGTTGCTACCATTGTTGCCACCTCCACAACCACCATCATTCTATCCCACAACAATGGCTACTATGGAGGTAGTGACGATGGCAGGGGTTGACGTAGTGGTATTAATAGTGCTGAAGATGGTGGTATTGGAGACGATAAATGGAGGTGGTGGGAAGGTGGAAAAGGTAATAGTGTGACAATGGCAACAATGATGATTAGTATAAGGAAAATTATTGGGAGGATGTATCATATACACATAATACTTATTATGGTTTTCAAAATTAGTCATGCAAAGTAAGAACAAGAACAAATAAATTAAACTGAATCAATTGTCGAACTGGAACTACTATAGATTTTGATCAAGACTAACGTTTGACAATATGTCCTTAAAACAGTTGTCTCCCCCACACTAGTGCTTATTGTTCTCCTTAAGTGTTTATTTTTTAGGATACAATAATCGGATATACATAGAAGAAGCACTGTAATTTGTGTATCTGATAAACCAGAAATATGTTTATGTACTCTTTAATTTAGACACTGCTAAGGACAAAAATTATAAATGTAATAACTCTGTAATGACAGAATGTTGAAATTCTTAACGTTAATGATGTTTGTACATATGTATAGACAGATTGGTGAATGATCATAATAGTCACCATGTAACCAGAAGACATCTTAGATGCTTGCCCATTCGTGAACAAACACAAAATCATGTTTAATAGAAAAATTGCGTGTTCAGATACAAAATACATGTTCGGACAGATTTAACTTTTAGGCCAAATTTGTAATATGTGCGTGCGGATGCATGAAATGTGTTTAGACGGAGTAATCTTTATGTCCAATTTTGTTCTCTTTCAAGCATGGAGTGGTGTTAAATCCCACATGTCCCAACCAATGTAAGATTGATGTGCAACGTCTCAACCTCTACTTTCACATTTCCAAGTGAGTTGTTTTTGAGTCTATTTTCTCATTAAACTTGTACTTGATTTGAACAAATGAATATATTACGTTATTCTCCTTGTTAAGTAGAACATAGACGTACAAAAATTTATTCAAAATGATAAGTAGGTCTCCCTCACTTTAATTTAGCATCAAAGTTGACAAAAATTCAATTTTTGGAATCCAAAAAGCTGTTTTGTCCAACAAAATAACAATTGTGAAGTAGGGACAATGTTTTGTGATGTAATAAGGTGACTAGGGGTTTAACTTAGACGAATTAAGGGTCAAACCAGACTCAACCCACGGTATAAAAACTCTAATCCTGACTAAATCTAATCTAAATACTGTCCAAGTTAATCTCTTTAAACTTAGGTTATATTGGGGCTAACTAATTCAAGTTGATTTCGGGCTCATAATTCAGATTAAATTCGAAAAGAGGCAAGAGATCAATAAAAACAAAGAAAGGTTATGTAGTGCGGGAGGATATTTTGGCAGAGTGGGTGGTCAAGTTTCTTCACTCAAAATAAAACTCGACACTTAAAATTTAAAGTCGAGTATTTTATGATCAATGACTAAAAATTTATTTTGAAATATTTGAAACGTTTTCGTTTTTAAGGAGATTGAAATGAATTAGTAATAAAATTAATATTTTAATATTTCGAGGTGTTTCATAACGTTTCAAGGTATTTTATAACATGTCAATACATTTGCACAAGGGTAATGTTATTTAGATCTAAAAATTTGACCCAATAATGTGACTCTATTGGAACCATTGGATTAACACTAAATTCTAATGTTTGATTGAGTCCATAGTTAATCCAAATGCCGTAATGAATTTTTTTTTTTTTTTTGGGAGAGAAAGAGGGTTTGAACTCTTGACCTCAAAAAACAAAGCTTTCACATGACGATAAATATCATTGGACCAAAGGTACATTTGTATAAATGTTATAAGGGATGTCAATTTTATCCATTAATACGAACCCGACCTGACACAAAACTCGAAAATAACATGATTAATTGACACGAGTAATAAATAAATCAAATTAAGGTTCGATACGAATAACACGATTAATGGGTACTGTAGATCAAAAATAATTATTTAACGAATATTGTAGACAAAAAAATAAGAATTTTATAATTTTTTAAATAATATTATATGAGTTGTTGTCGAATTAAATAATTTTATATTAATACGAATATTGACACGAACCTGACAAGTACCGAAAGTGACACGACAAGAAATAACATGATCGAAATGACACGACACGACACAATTAACACCCTTAATGAATTAGATCAATAAATTAGGTTCCAATAGTATTATTCTTTCAAAATATTTTAATGTATTTTAAAATATTTTAGTATATTTTGACCAATATTTTGAAAAAATAATTTTTAAATTTTTTATTATTTTTTTTGAAACGGATTGAATTTTTTTTTAAAATATGCCACAATATTTTTGTTTCTTGAATGACCGGAATAATAGACGGAAACAAAATTTTAATTCTTACTTATGACAGATGAGTTGATGATGTTTTTTTTTTTTCTTTTTCGTAAGCTCGCACCCCCGTTACTATCTGCTAGTCATACACCAAAAGCCTTTTCCACCTGTGATCTTGCCAAATATACAAGGGTTAATCTCATTTTGTACCTTGAAAGATCGTTCGAATTTTAATTTGTACCTCTAAAGATTAAAAATTTTAATTTGTACCATAAAAGATAGAAATTTGTATCAATGTACACCCCCAAAGATCAAAAATCTCAATTTACACCCTCAAAGATATAAATCTGTATCAATGTGCACCTAAAATTAAATTGATAAATTATACCTAGATCCCCTCGTGTTTGTCACTTAATCATTTGAACCCCTTCATATTTAGAATATTACCCCTACATCTCATGACGTTTGTACATGTGTAAACATAACCACTTTTCGTTGATATCTATTAATATAATCGTTAAAAAATATGATTTTATCCTAATAAAAAATTATAATTTCATATTACTCTTTATTTTGTGGATTTGATATACTTTAAAGTTCAAAATCAAGCTTACCATTTGAATGTCTAATAGAATATAGATATTTATATAAAGGAAAATATGAAAAACAATATATAAATATCTACATTTTATTAGACATTCAAATGGTAAGCTTGATTTTGAATTTTAGAGTATATTGGACCCATAAAATAAAGGTAATATGAAATTATAATTTTTTATTAGGATAAAATTATATTTTTTAACGGTTATATTAACAGATATCAATGAAAATGAGTTACATGTTGTACGTGCATAAATGTTATGAGATGTAGGAGTAATATTCTAAATGTAAAGAGGTCCAAATGATTAAGTGACAAACATGAGGAGATCTAGGTATAATTTATCAATTTAGTTTTAAGTGCATAATGATACAAATTTTTATATTTGAGAATACAAATTGAGATTTTTTATCTTTGGGGTGCACATTGATATAAATTTCTATTTTTGAGGGTATAAATTGAGATTTTTGATCTTTGAGGGTACACATTGATACAAATTTCTATCTTTGAGGATGTAAATTAAGATTTTTGATCTTTGGAGGTATAAATTAAAATTCGAACGATCTTTCAGAGTCTAAACTGAGATTAACCCAATATACAAACACGACCACCTGTGACCGGCGCCTCCGTGACTCAACTAACCCACAATCCTCCATCCATTAATTACTCCTAATCACCCTGATTACCATTTAAATTGTCTAATTAATTAATTAACCAGCCTCTCTGCTCCTCTCCCCCTCCTCTATAGTCTCTGCTCTCTCTCACTACGGTGTACGGGTCCTATCGGTGAATAGCGACAAACCGACATCTTCTCTCTCTCTCTCCTCCATCTCTTAATCTGCGCCGGTTCTGCGCATCGTGCGCCGGCGCCGTCGTGCAATGAGTAGGAGGAGATCGTCCTCCGTCGTTGCAATCTCTACTCTCTTGTTTATATCTTTAGCTTCGATTTCTTCGCTTTCAGAATCGCTCATGCTTAGTGAATCGGATCAGGTCGATAGTAATATCAATGTCACTGAATCGAACAATGTCTCTCTGTCTAAACCAAAGGAGGACAGCTTTGCTGACATGATTGACCGGGCTTTGGAAAAGGAGTTTCCTGAGAATGAGCAGAATGAAGGTCGGTAGTAGATCTGAGCTCTTTTTCATTGTAATCACTTCTCTGTTTTAAGTTGTCTTGGAAAATATGTTTAATTAGGGACTAGAATTAAGCTTTCTTTGATTGCTGAGGATTTGGAGGAAAAATCTGGATACGAAGAATTTAAACTTCTCATATTTTGCATTATTAATGACGAAAAAGGTTAACTATGGCGTCAATTAATTTGTCTACTTGACGAACCCTTGGGACTTTTTACTTGGCGGAGGCTAAGGTTGAAAACTAATTTTTGTATATATACAACCTCACTTTAAACTTAGGTTTTGATATGATTTTGAGATTGAGATGGGTTTCGAAATGCTAACCTTCCGGTGACAATTTACGTAGTAGTATTTACGTAAACAAAAGGTAATTTAGGCAGTAATAAATTTCTAGCTTGGCAGTTGTGATTTCCAAATAAGGAAACCTGCTGGTAATTAAGGGTGATGTGTTTTTTTGGGGGTAAGTAATGGTGATATTAATACCCATAATATCTCACTTTGGACTTATGCTGTGATGGAGGTCTTGGAATTGGCATTGGGGCAAAATTAGTTTATAATTTTCACGAATTTTACTCTCATTCCATTTCTGGGGGCCTATTTGAGAGACTTCTTGACGTCCAGTACGCATCGGAGCCCCCAAACAAGCCTTTTGGACTAATAAAGATGGGTCACAATTCTGTGCTCCAAAATGGAGTGTTATGGGTAAATATGACTGTGAGATTGAAATGAATGTTACACTGATTGCGGACGGTTCTTGTTAGTGTCATGGGTGAGTGCAGGTTGTCCCACTACAGATGAAGGGTGTGTATTGGATGGACTTATATGGACCCAACACCCTCTTGGTTAAGCATTTGGGCCTAGGTGATGTTCTATCATGTGAATCTGGTTTTTGGCATCTCCCTGGGACTCCCTAATTATACAATTAGCCATATATGATAATGTGGATACAGCTGAGGTTGATTAGTTCGAAGTTTCAAATTTTACTTGCCAATAGTTTCTCCCTATTCATTATATCTATTGTGTCAAACTATGTGGTTCTATAAGTTTATTTTACATGAAAAGAATTGTTTGAAGTTTTAATGCATTCATCTAAGTTCTTAAAAGTTGCATTAAATTGGCAGAAAATGATGCTGGTAGCTTCAACAACAGTGTCGCTGAACAACAGGTTGGTGATGTCATATTGTTTATATTTTTCCTTTTTCAATGTTCTTAGCGGATTTTCTGGAAAAGCTAGTATATAGGCATAAGAGGGATGAATGCACTGCAATAGTACAGTTGAGAGTCTTGAGACACATCACATCATGATGGGTAGATATAATTTATTTAGCTAAATTTTTCATTGATGGCTTGAAATTTCAATCAAAATGAAAGACAATCAAACTCTTATAATAAAACCTTTTTGAGTACCAGTCTTCGAAGAAGCAGGGACACTTCTAAGAAGATTTTCTATTCCCACAGGATTAATATCAAGCACCACCACTTCTCGGAAATCTCAGGCACGCATCTAATGCCTTTTGGCCATGTCTATACTTGAAATATGAAATCGGTAACTTGGGACACTTGGTTGACACTTATAGGAAACCCGCCAACATATAACAAATGAGTTTGTATGTTGGGATATGGTTTGTTTTTAGATTGCAAAGGTATAATTGTTAAGAGCAATCAAATTGATTTTCTATACATAAACTTACTTGTTTGACCTATATCAAGGGCAAAATGAGATAATCAAAGATTAGTTATATCAAAGGAGTGCGAATGAAAAGAAGAAAGTAATCACTATAATCATGTATACTTGAGATGTTGCTATAGGAGATTGGCTATTGTCAATAGTCGTAATCTATGAGATAAAAGTTTCATGCTACATATTTAAGATTTACAACTGGAGATTTGAGATTGACCTATGGTAAGATACTGGTTGTTGTGGATTATATGAGGGTCATTAGGGGTCATTACTCGGGTTGTGTTTGCTAATCAAGGGTTTTGGAAGGGGTGGACTGGGAATAGATCTAACCCTTGACATATCTGCCTTTGCATTTGTGTCCATGCCTTATAGCTGGTCATTGTTCTGGTGAGATGTAGTCCAATGATATGTGTTGCTCTCTTCTACTATTGCAGTGTGCTTGTCCTTCCAGAATAAGTGGAATAAGTGGTCAGTGGTCATAGTATTGTACTCTAATTTTGTCCTTTTAAGTAAAACTTGAATGAAGACTAATGTTGTACTTTTCTTGCGCTCTGTGCTGTAATTTACAAGTAGTTCATTTCTTGAGGCTGTTGTTGAGTGTAATCTGGTTTGCATGTTTTGGTCATCAGGCTGTGTTGGAAACTGTAGCTAGAGTCAAATCCAAGAAAAATGACACGAAGGAGGAAAAGTACATCCTTCTATCTTGTGAACCAATAAATTTTGTTTGTGTTTATTATATTGATAAGGATCATTCCCCTACTCATAAATTTTTTCCTGCAGTACAAAAGTTGTATTTTCTCACATTATTGGACAATGGTTTCAGGTCCTTCCAACTTCATCATGTTTTCAATTTGGATAATGACAATGGAGCAGAAGATACCCCAACACTGATAGACAGAAAGGTAAAATCAATTTAATGGAAAGTTAGGTGTTGAATATGCAGTTGCAGTTCTGAATTCTGATTGCCTAATGCATTGTAGATATTCTACACTTTCAGGATAACGTCTTTATAATATCAAATTTCAAATCAAAATATCCAATGCTGCAGTTGGACCTGAGGTAAATTTACAAGTTCTTTATGGTGTTAGCATACCTAAAATTTCTTCTGTCAACTGGTTTACTGTCTAAGCTGTCTAACATGTTGATTTTGGTAGATTGATATCAGATCTTGTAGTTGTCATCGTGTCTGCAACTTGTGGCGGCATCGCCTTTGCTTGTGCTGGACAACCGGTCTGATAATTATTCTTTATCCATACTTGCTACACCAACTGTCCAATTATTAATTTAATTCTTTTAATTGATTCTGAAGTTTTTATATTCCATTTGAGTTTTTCAGGTTATTACTGGATACTTGTTAGCAGGATCTGTTGTTGGACCTGGAGGGCTGAATGTCATCAGTGAAATGGTGCAGGTAAATTGCCTTTGTCTTAACATAGTGGTTGGTTAGCTATGCACAGGAATTCATAGTTTGGCCTAGCCCCTTAATATGTGACATGACAATCGATGCCCAACAGTCTATATTTTGATTCACTTCGTCTCTTAGTTAAGCTAAAGTCTACCATTGTTCTTATCACTTTCCTTTAGAAATACATATCATCAAGTTTTTGCTCCTAAATTCTATGCATTTTAACCTAATATAGATAGTGAGCCTGGTGCACTGAGTAGTGCTCGAGGACATGCATCTACAAGTTCCAATGTTTCACCGTTTAGTAGTTGATCTCTACTTACAATCTTTTAACCACAGAACCTAGCATTCTCTTAACAATTTGCTCTTCATATGATCTGAAAAACATGAAGAACTTTCTCTTCTGGTGATTTGAAAAACATGAAGAAAATGTTCCATGCCATGGGCTTATTAATTATGAGATATTTTCTTATCTCACTTCATCTTAACACTGTAGGTTGAGACGGTGGCCCAGTTTGGTGTCATTTTTCTTCTGTTTGCTTTGGGGCTGGAGTTCTCCACTACAAAGGTTGGTTGTGTTCTTATTTCACCTTCCCTTGATGAGTGGCTTTTAAATCCCGGTTTGTTACAAAAAATTGCAAGTTATATTCACACTTGTGTAATATCAGCTTAAAGTTGTACGAGCGGTTGCTGTTCTTGGAGGCCTACTACAAATCTTCCTTTTTATGGGTCTCTGTGGAATTACAGCCTCGGTATGTCGACGATATCTAACTTCTATTCTAGTTGTGTTTGTGGTTGCTAGTCTTTTTGTTTAGACGCAAAGAAACTATAAAAAATATCTATTTGGAAAGATATCTAGGCAATGAATGAGCATTACAGTACGGATTTTTGAAGTATTGATAATGATAATGAAGGCAGCCTATCAGTAAATTGGACTATCTGAAAGTATGTGGAGATTATGTATAATGAGAATTAGTTGGAAGAGGCATCAGAATGGACTCATAGAAGACTTTTAAGGTCTTGATTGCCACCACAAATTGTTAAATTAGGTTACATGATTATAGCCCTCTAATATCAGGTAAATGGGTGTGACAAGAGTGCTACGCCAGCCGAATTCTCGGCTTGCCATTTCAAATAATCCCAACTAAGTGACAGACTCTTTAGCAAAACTTCGATTGCGATACACTTTAAATGGCATCATAATTACTTGACCAACATCTGTTATTGTTGGAAGATGTAATTAAATCTGAGGCTATTTAAGGTTAAGTTTGCTGCTTTCTGTACTTGTAGTCCAGTAACCCCCTTGCTGCCTTTAAAATCCTTTTAAATTCATTCATGAGCTGATGGTGTGTATAAATAGATTCTCCAAGGCCATTAATATTAATGGGAACTTGGAAGTCAAGCATTTATTTGAATCGAGTATGTAAAATAATCTTTTCTATTCTCTGTTCTGCAGTACTAATGTATGCAACTCAATGATTTTGGCAGTTATGTGGGGGTAAACCTTCAGAGGGGGTGTTTGTCGGTGCATTTCTCTCAATGTCTTCAACAGCAGTGGTAATTATTGACTTGGATTAGTCTCATGATACATTTACTTCTTTGTCTATGTCTATACACTTGTCCATTGCTCATGGCTGCAATTCACATTGTTTGCGCGATAGGTTTTGAAGTTTTTGATGGAAAAGAACAGTACCAATGCACTTCATGGACAAGTTACGATCGGCACCCTTATTTTGCAGGTATTTTGTTCCTTCTATTCATCTTTGCATAGATGCCCATTCACAGTATATTTTTGCATACTCTAAACCTTATCACAAAGATTTGAACACTGTAAAATCATATTCTCGCATCACTTATATCAAGCTACAGCTTGTTGGTGATGACCCGTCAACAGGGCTTCACTTTTTAAATGATATTTGAACCATCAATGTCAATCTTTTACATAATATGAGCAGGTTCTCTGTTGTTTATAAGGCCAAGCCTACCTGGTTCTGAGTTAAGTTAATTTTATCTTCCAGGACTGTGCTGTGGGTTTGCTATTTGCTCTGCTTCCTGTTTTGGGTGGAACTTCAGGTGTTCTGCAAGGAGTAATATCCATGACTAAATCGTAAGTTGGTACCTATTACTGTATGTTTCCAAACTCTTATTTGCAGTTTATTGACTTTGTTAGGAACACTTTGGTATTGTTTTCATTTCCATCATTTTTACAGTGAGGCTGGTGCTCATGACTATAACATGTTGAAAATTGCTAAGATGTATGGAGTTTTGCAACTCCCACAGAAGAAAAAGAAATTATATAGAGAGAATAGAGAATGGTAGAAGAAAGAAGAGACGTGATAGTTGAGAAAGGCCAAAGTTTGAATTAAATTAATATTCCAATGTCAGTCAATGGTTCCTGATTATGGTAAGCCTAGTATTTGTAGGCTTTTCCCTGAAAGGTCCAAATATGGGAAAAATTAATATTATACTCAAAAATCGATCCATAAATTAAAGAAATTGCATATTTCAATCTAACATTGAGCCCACAAAGAAGAAATTCCAGGCCTTGGACCTTCATCGCAAATAGGGGTGAATCTCTTTCCCGGCTTTCTCATGATCCTCATTATGAAGCTTGTGAAAAGTACCAGAACTTGCATTCTGCTAAGTTCTTCCAATGCACCAGATGGTGGAAAAATGTGGCAAGAGAATATGCAAATTCAACCTCAAACAAGGGACTAGAATGTTATAATTCAGCTCAAAAGAAAAACCGTTATGTTACATATGAGCACGTGCTGATGTCGATTTTCTTTTTACCCTCAGTAAACAAGCATAAAACTTGAGAGGGCAATTTACAGAACAGGCTCTGTCAGGCATTGAAGAAATAATCTGTGAGCTAATATTCAGCAATGTACTTCTGGTGGAGGAAAGAGGTCAATATGCTGGATTTGGAACCATAAGCGATGGGAAATTTTGGGGCTATCTTCTCCATGGAACCTCATTCCGAATTCATGTGGGTTGGGAAAGCTACTATGACTTCTTGCTTCTTGGCTATTGGCTGGTGGTATGTGCCAGGTAGTTTGGTCGACATGTAAGCAAACTTTCTGGTGATTGCCAATCCAAACATGTCTCTCATGTAGAAATTATCAAGTCGGTGTACAGCAAAAGGGAATCGTTACTTGTCAGGCTGATATCTTAAAAAGAAAATGAAAAACCCACTGTACTTATATTTATCATTTTTTTTGGGAGGGGAAAGGAGGAGAGGGAGTTGAACTCTTGATTTCAAGAAAGCAAAGTCTTCACAAAGCAAGGAGTACCATTGGACCAAAGGTCCGTTGGTTGTACTTTTATTTATCAGGACCATGCCAACTACTTATATTGAAAATTGAAGACAGCATGTCAACATGGTATTTGACTGTGGCCTATGTTTCTTAGTAATGTGGTGATGTCGGTCTCAGTAAAACAGGGAATTAAATTTTTTATTCTTTCATAATTTCAACATGTTAGTTTACATGGATGTACTGGAAAAATGGTGAGGAGAAATGTGGGTTTCAGTAATTTGGCATTATTAGTGGTCTGAGTTGCAGGATAACTGTTACTTTTAGTTTTGGTGAGTGTCGGAACTTTCTGTGCATTACTGAATCTTCTATTAGCCAGGTTGGTGGTGCTGATAGCATTTCTGGTTGTTCTGTCCATATTATCGCGCACTTGTGTTCCTTGGTTCCTCAAGTTGATGATAAGCCTATCATCTCAGGTATGAATTCATCCAATCGAATAATAGCATCACATGTAAGGATGGTCTGCTTAATGTTGCGTTTTTTTTTTTAAAGTTCATTGCATGGGCTCACACCCTTGAAAAAGTGTTTTCATGTCAGTGCACGCATGCTATAATGATCACTTATCATAACAATTTTTCCTGTGCAGACCAATGAACTGTATCAGTTGGCGTCTGTTGCATTTTGCCTACTCGTTGCTTGGGTTTGTTTCCTTCCCAATACTTGAACGACTCTGGATTCTTATTTATACCTTGGCATTTGTACTTCTGTATGTTTTTTACTGTGCATAAATATTATTGACAGTTCCCTTATTTTTAAAAAGGGTTGGTGTCTGAAATTTAGCCTTTGACGTTCAAATTGTTCACCACAAACATGAACTTGGGTTCCTATCCAAGCTTATAGTAACTGAAAGCACATTGGTCTTTGCTGGTTGAAAGGGTTTGTATCAAGTTATAATATGACCTCAGAACCAGTATTTGTGGCTTACCTGTTTCTTTATTGTGGTGAGAACTACGTACAAATTCATATATTAGTTTTTGTGCACAAAGGAGATGTAAACAGTTCCACTTCCTAAGAAAATACACCTCCAAAAATGGAAAAATAAATTGTGGTGGCAGATTTTGTCGGTAATTGCAGAATTTTTTCATGAGAAAATAATTGTCAGCAATGGTAAAAGCGTAGAAAGGGGTTGGCCTTGTTATGGGGACACTAGCTGGTGTACAGCTTTCTTTAGTGTGCTTCAATTCATTTCTTGCATCTGATTTCCAGCAGGTCACTCAGCACATTTCTGTGGTTTTAGGTAGCGTTATCCATGTTGACGGGCCCTTTTGAATAATTGAGCTAGTTGCGTCTTGCATGTGCAAATTCCTTTTGAGTGCATGTAAAGCAGTAATATCATCTAATTGTTGGAAAAATTTCAGTGTAGTGACAAGCTGGGTCTAAGTTTAGAACTGGGTTCATTTGCTGCTGGAGTGATGATATCAACAACTGATCTTGCTCAACATACACTTGAACAAGTAAGACTATTTTTTGCACTTATTTTCTCATTGGACTATGCAGAGATAAATGATTATTCATTTAAAATGGTGCTTCAAAACTTGTATATTCTAGGCATTCAGTGATTTGAAGCCTTGTTACCTTTGCAGGTAGAGCCCATTCGCAATTTCTTTGCCGCCCTTTTCCTTGCCAGCATTGGGATGCTGATCCATGTTCATTTCCTTTGGAACCATGTCGATATCTTATTAGCGTCAGTTATATTGGTGGCCATTGTTAAAACAATGGTAATTTCCACAGTTGTGAAGGGTTTTGGCTACAACAACAAAACTTCACTTCTTGTAAGAAATTACTTAGTAATTTTTTTGTATATAATAGTTATCTTTTTCACCTTTTCATGTTTTTCATTTACAATGACACTGGGTCTTGTATCATGTAGGTCGGAATGTCATTAGCACAAATAGGGGAATTTGCTTTTGTCCTTCTCAGTCGGGCTTCAAATCTTCATCTTGTTGAGGTCAGTGCTACAACTTTTGTTTGTTCTGCCCACAAATAGAACACCCAGCTGGCACACAGCCCAAAAAAAGAGCAAATCAGGATTTATTTTTAGAAATTACCAAGTTTAATATTCATGACGACGATTCTTTGATTTGTTGAAGCCCTAACCAACAGTAAGTGGTGCGGAAGCCTTGCACTTTTGTCATAGGTCTAAAAACTTATTATCTTTTCAGGGGAAACTATACCTACTGCTGCTTGGGACAACAGCTCTTAGTCTGGTATGAAATCATTTGCAGTCGAGTTTTACCTGACACGTTATATAATTTCTGGATTACATGTGTGCAAAAGATGTTCTTCACCGCAAGCGTTGCTATTATTGAGATTGCCTTCTATCTAATCATTTCATTGCGGTGCTAATAGCATCGAGTATGGGCATTGTAATCATCGTTCGAAAGGAGAATGTTTAATCTGAGGGCATTTTCTTGCTTTTATTTGTGTCTGATGGAACCCTCTGCATTCCAGTTTCACTAGTGTTGGTCATGCAGGTCTAATCTTTGGCATTATTCTGCCTGGACAGTTGCCCTAGGCTGCTCTGCACTCAAACACGTGTTACCATGCTTTACTGTTTGAGCTATTACCACGGCATCAGGCAATGCCACTTGAATTTCCTCAACTTACCCCCAAAAAATAAAAATGGACAGTGGGAGATATCCCAAACCCCTCCCCCACCCACAAGCAAAAAAAAAAAACAATGAAGTAAATTCAAAATAGTGCCTGAGAATCGTGCAGAAGATTTTAGTACAATGGAAGCCACAGGTGCATAGTCCTCTGTTTTCTGCAAGCATATGTCTATTAATTTTATTATCCAACATACAAGCCTATGGGAACTTTTAAGTATGACGAATCAGAAAGTCTATTGTAGGTGTGCCAGTTTCAGGATTGGATAGCAATGTGCGTGTGTGTGTGTGTGTCTCTGCAATTTGTTTGCAGTAATTTTATTAGTAGATCATTTAACCCCAAAAAAATGCAGGTGACTACTCCATTGCTTTTCAAGCTAATACCAGCTGTGGTACATCTTGGGGTGCTCCTAAGGTGGTTCTCCCCTGATATTCAGACTGAGGTAATTGCTGAATACTTCTCACTGCTGGCCTAAAGGCTCGATAAATATGTGGCTGTGGTTTTGCCCCAATCCTTTCCTTTTTACTTAGCAAGTTTCTTGAACATGTTTTTGACTTCCAGATAGGTTTTAAAGGGGAAAACCTCCGCTCAGATAGTACTAAGCAGCGGATTGCTTTAATCTCCAAGGATCTCTTGATTCATGAAGGTTAAATTTATGAGCAACATGTGAGCTCTCCGGTTCAACCTGAAAAGAAATTTTTTCGCCAGCCTAGGTCTCCAACAACGTGAGTTTCAGTGGATTCATTTTTTTCTCAACCATCCTCAAACAAAGTGCATCCCATTTTCTACAGTGTACATCTCTGATCAAAGTAGAGAACAACAAAGCAACATGAATCTGGGAAATTGGGAGGCCGGTATAACTGGTAATCTAACTATCAAGCAACTAACAAATTGATGTTTCTCTTGCGATTGAGGTAATCAAGCAACTCGACCTGTGACTTATTCTTTTGGCATTTTCGTACCCATCTATGTAACATAATTTTCAGATGTTGTGTAATTCACATTGATATATGATTCCCCACCCCTCCCACGCTACCCCAACCCCCTTTTTGTGTGGTTGTTTGATTTTTGAAAATCAAAATGTCGGTTCACGTTTAAGATAACTATATGGAATGCTTTATTTCTAACTCATCAGTGATGCATAGGTTTTTTTTTGGAACCGATATTCTGCTCTTTGGACTCGTGCTTATGCAAACTCCGAATGTGTACCAATCACAAGTGTTGCACAAAATGTTGTACAAGGTATTTGGAATGAAAATGTTCTTCTTTAGCGGCTTGGCCATTTACTTGAGAGTCTCGGTTATTCCATTTCCAGATGTGAACAAAACCTTGAAAGGGTGTGTGGTCATTGGTCATTCCTGAGTCATAGAGACCGTTTAGCTGAAGAGCTTTATTCTAACACTTCAAAGTAGATACACGCAAGACAGCCCCTCCCTGAAAAGTAGAACATTTTTGAGCAATTGAAAAGTGATTTGAATCGACTTGATTTTACCGATTCCTGAATTATCGATTTGTATGTTTTTGTTTTTGTTTTCCGTTTTCTTTGGTAAATAACGGATCTGGATGTTGCTATTAGTTTGAATTTCATTTTTTTTTTTTTTTGGAAAAATTTCTGTCCTACCTATTTTAGTTTATCATATCTTCAAGGACACATCATCTATTAATCTAAAATATCACCGACACTCTTACCGTTAAATCACCATTTCTAACAAAAAAAAATTATCCAAAATACCAAAATTACTCCTATATAAATCTCAAATAATCTCTCTACATAAAACTTGAGTTGATTAAAATTAATTTTTTTACATATTAGCCGATTTAAGCTCTATTTGAGTTGTTAGTACTTATTAAAATTTGCATTGAGTCAATTAAAATTTATATTTTTTCTTATTAAAATTTCAATTAAGTTGATTAAAATTTATTTTTTACTTATTAAAATTTGAGTTGATTAAAATTTATATTTTTTTATATATCAAAATTTGGATTGATTAAAATTTGATTCGAGTCGATTAAAAATGAATTTTAATCTGTTCAAATTTTAATACGTTAAAAAAAATAATTTTTAATCTACTCGAATTTTAATACGTAAAAAATAAAATTTAATCAACTTGAAGAGGTGTAGATAAAGTGGATGAAGTTTATTTAATCAACTTGAAGAGGTGTAGATAAAGTGGATGAAGTTTTTCTTAACATATATTATGGACAATTTAGTAAAATTGTATTTTAGTTAAAGTTTTTAATTTGGGGTGTTAGTGAAAATTTAAAAAATAAAGTAAGTGTCCTTGAAGATATGGTAAAATGGGAGGAATGTGACTAAATTTTTTCCTTTTTTTTTTTTATCATTTTCAAAGGCATCTTTTGGAAGTAAGGCGCATTATGGTCCAACTTGCAATACTGAATTAAAGTCATTTTACTAAACTCGTCAGCGAAGTTAATGGTGCATTTTAATTTGCAAGTGAAATTTGACCAAGGCTATTAAGGTTTTTTTATTATTAAGCTTCAGTTGACCTGAATTAATGTTTATTCTCGAATTGTGTTGACCTGAATTAAGGTTTGTTTTCCAGCTCTTTTGGATGGATTCAGTTAAGTAAGAACCGAAATGTTGGATTACTAGAGTGTTCTTGTGCAAAATAACGTTTCTCTTTTACCGTGTTTAAAAAGTTAAATGTAAATATTTGAATTAAAAGAGAAAGATTCACCAAGTTCAAGACTTGAAATGTTGGATTACTATGTCGCTTCTATGCATATATATATATATATATATATATATATATATATATATATATATATATATATATATATATATATATATATATATATATATATATATATAATTGTGGTTAAAAGGTTAAATGTAAATGTATTGAATTAATATCATTAAAACATTTTAAAATTTAAATTATAATATAAATCGTTGAATTTAAACGACGTGATCTATTGTGTTTTGTGAAAACATGACTTAAACTTTTGCTCCGTAAATTTCCAAGTTGCTACGAGAGAGAGAGAGAGAGAGAGAGAGAGAGAGAGAGATTGTTGTACTCAAGTTGTTGGCAAAGTTAGTGGTGCATTTTGGCTGTGCGACGATTTTTCAATGCGAAGTAGGTGAAGTTCCACTGGGTGTAATCACATGGTAAAGTAAAATTTTCCCAGAATTTCTTTTTTTTAAAGTTTCGTTGATATTAAGGATTAATTGTCCTGACTTAATTTTGGTCCTCTCGTTGCAGTTGACCTCGATGTAATAGCCATGACCTCGATGTAATAGTCATGTGTTTGGTATAAGTCCAAAAAATATGTTTAATAAGAGTTGTCTGTTATCGAAACTAATCGTTATTTAAGACTAAGTTAGACTTCTTTTAATTGCATTTTTAACTCCAAGTTGATTTTTTTTTTGTTATATTTTATCGTTCTCTTTGGATGGACTCATTGAGTTCAGAGTCGGAAACCTTGGTTAGTGTGGACAGACAGTTCAAGAAAGCACAGGTTGCTCTATACAAACAAGTAAAGACTCCAAGAAAGGTAAACTCCACGGAAGGTAAACAACCGATGCTATTAAGATTTAATTTATCAACCTAATTTACTTAATTTATTAGAGTCTTTGTATTAATTATGAATTTTATCAAACATTAAAATTTAACCTTAATCTAATAGTTATAATGAAACTACGTCATTATAACAAAGCGTAGGCCTTTCAAAAGGTAACGGATTGTAAAGGTTTCCTTGAGCTGGACTAAGATTGGCCCTCGTGTGCAGGGGTGGAGCCACCTTATGCCCAAGGGGGCACATGCCCATCCTCAAATTTTTTTTTTCTAAAATTATTTATATATATTTTAAGTATTTTTTTCAATATATTACATTGTACTCACCCTATTTTTTTAGCTAAAACTATCCATAAGTTTACTTATAATTTTGACATTTATTTTAGTAATTATCACTGACATGATAGAGAATATATTTTATTGTGTAATCAAATGAATGATAAATAGTTAAGTGATAATATGATTGTAGATAAAACTAATAATAAAGTTAATGCAAGACTTTCAATATACGAAAATTTATCAAAATCAATTCTAAATAGTTTTGATTAACTTTTGTTATGTAAAAAGATATAATTAATCTATTTTTATCATTTGTATCTACTATGCTTAGTAATTTTAGTCTTTTAAGTTCAATAAAATTTTAAGAATTAAATAAGATATAATTAAATATAAATACATTATTCTATTTTTATAAAATGCAAGAAAAAAATTAAGCTTGTTAAAATATACAATGTCCACCCTGGAACAATTTTTTGGCTCCGTTCCTGCTCGTGTGCAAAGACAAAAGGGAGCTTGACTATGAGACCCACCAATCGAGCTGGGATAGAAGTCGGTCTTAGGGATCCGACTAGCACTGGTAAATAAGTCAAGTTTAAACTTTTTTTAAGTTCGTTTATGTGTAAATAGTTAAACGAGTAAGCTCGTTTATGTGTAAATTAAGCTCGAATTCAGCTCGATTATCACCCCTAGATCCGACGGTGTCAGGTGGAAGAGCCATCACTCAACGAATAAAAATTATTTTAGAGATAACAAGTTGATATTTCCCAAAACTTCACATCGACAAGAAGTTTTGGAACCTCGATGTCGACTCTTCTCTGACCCTAATCTAATAATTATAATAAAATTACATTATTATAATAAATTCTTAAGTTCTAATAGCATTACTCATGGTAGGTAAACACATTAATTATGAGCGAATCATAAATGGAGCTTTAGGAATGATGGTCCAGTGATACCTTCAAAACCTAACACCCATTTTTTTCCTCCCTTCAAACACGACACTTTGATAACGAAGTGGGTCAAAGTTGAAATGCTATGAGTAAATTGTCTAGGTTGTATACTAGAAAAGTTAGACCTGCTTCCCTTGATGATCGGCAGTTCAGAAATGTCACTATTTTCCCCTTTACAACCATTAACGTCCAAAATTTGGGATTGATTGTAAACGATTTGAGATTGATCCATTTGTGTTTTGGTCGATGCGAACTTAAACCATTTAATATTATTGTCCTATTTGAATCATAATTTAACTTGATTAGTTTATAAATTTTGTATGATACTTTCTGAATAGAAAAATCATCTATTTCGTAACTAAGATATTTGAAAATGATAAAACTTTAAAATCAGAAATCAGAAGAAATTTTTATTACTATGTAATGTAATTAACTGCAATGTTGTGGAATTAGAGTACTTGTGATGGAAAAGAACAACCAAGATTTCCTCTCTTTTGTAGGCTTTTGTTAAAATCCAATAATTATTTTCTTTGTTTTTTTTTTTGGGCGTCATAAGATACTTTATTTTGTTGGAGTTGTATATAGTACCCAAAAAAAAAAAATTATGTATTATACTTTCATTTATCATATTTGTGAATACTTTTATCATTATTGTGGTACCGAAAAAAGTAATAAAAATAATTAAACAAAACAATCATAAAAATACCCGCAAAAATAATAAAATTTTAAATTATAAAATGACTCATAAAAATTATAAAAACACATTGAAGTAATAAATTTTGAAGTTACGCTACCAAATATTTTTTATAGGGACAGTAGTCAAGTCCTATTTTGTTTAAGTGGCCTCATGTGCCCATGTCAACCGGAAACAAACACCAAATGAAAACTGAACCAGAAGGAGATCCCATTAATTTTTTTGTGTTTTATGAACAACTCATTGCCATGACTTGTTGCTTCTCTATCTTGTCCTTGTAGTAGTAAGTAATCATTTGCCATTCTATCATTTATTTATAATATTATTTTTCTAATTTTTTTACTTATTTTTTAAACTATCTTTGTTTCTATACAATAACACTATCTTCAAAACCCTTTAGGCATTCGTGTTTAGGGTGTAACGAGAAGGTTGAGGTACCAGAGCATGATAATCACATATTCGAACATGGTACTAAAATCTACTAGAAAGTTTAATCTACGACAGTGCTAATCGTAATGCATTTCAATGAACTTGCAAACAAAAATATGCAGTTTGGAGAAATTTAACTATAACCCAAGTTCTGAATAGTAATTATAAGCACTGTGCTCAGTTTACATCATCCAAACATTCTTGACCTAGGGAAAAACTATAATTACATGAAAAATTGCTGGGCTGCATGACATTGCAGAAAATTTAGCTCATATTGAGGTACTTTTGACTGCATTACTTTCTCTCTACAGGAAAGCCAAGTCCTTGCTAATAGGTGCATGGATGGTACCTTTATAACCAAGCTTATAGCTATGTCTATATATATGTATATATACTGAAATAAGTACTCTTACTTCTTCCTTATGATGATAAAAACATCCTGAGTTTACGTTGCAGTCTAGCAGGAGAGAGCCTGGGACTGTAAATGTGGATACATTCACATAATGGAATTAATGTTCATTTATTTGCCCCGAGATTTTTTTAAAATTATGTTTCAGACCACACTAATTGGTCCTGCTACGAGGCAACCCGGGGAAGTTTTACTTTGATTCAGTGGCGTTGGTGCTGCAAGTGAAAGCTCGAGATCAGGTTTTGCGCTTTGCACAGTGGACTTATTTAAATTGGAAGCAGTACTGAACTGGGATTCCAACGATCCATAAGGCCAAACCGGTAACGAAAGCCTTACGGACTTTGAATCTTGCTCCAAGGTACTGAAATCTATCATGGAAGCATTTGTCTTTGATGATAAGCCACATGAAATGGAAGTTTCATTGGCCACAAAACTATTTGTATTTATTTCCAGGCTCTTTAATTTATGCCTCCCAACCTGCCAGAAAACAGGCACCACGGACGAAACAAAAGTCAGTTAATTAATCATGTAAAGAAAAGAAAAATTATAATGACACCCCTTGTAATCTCTTAAACAACATTCATCGCCCCTAATTGTTTCTTCGATTTTTTGAGTAAACGCTACAAGCAAAAAAAAACCTTTAAATCATTTTTTTTTTGTAGCTCTATACACGTTTACAACTATTAGCAATGCATGACGTATGTTGCACATAAATAAATTAAAATAATATTATTTTTATAAAAAATAAGAATTATATGTGTAATCAAATTAAATAATAAATTATGTGCCAAATAACTAATTCATATTTTAATTATTGTTAAATTTAATTATCAATTTATTCTATAAGTCTTTGAATACCTAATACATTATTTATTTAGATATTTATCTAACCTTTTTAGGCATTTACAAATCTAATTATATTATAGAATTATTAATTTTTATTTTTTTAAATAGATTGATTGGATCACTTATAATATTACTATATTATTGTATGCCAAAAAATTTATATGACATATATTTGGCTGAGAAATTTAATCTGATAATGTGTAGAATAATTTAACATATATAGGACTTTAATTCTTCATACAGATATAAAAAATTATATAAGTAGACTACTAATAAATGAGTTCAAAATAATTTAGGAGTCCTTATAAAATAGTTCAAAATAAGTTAAAAGTCAAATACTAGTTAAAAACAAAAATTAGATGAAAGTATATAGTTGAGTATAATTGATTTTATTATAATACTTAGGAATAAAATAAGAAATTAAAAATTTTTCGCAGATACTGATATTTATAAATAGTATAAAATAAATATAAATATAGATAAACAATCGAGATTTATCGTACAGGGTCAAAATAGGTGTTATCTAACTCAAGGGAATAATTTTGTGGTCAGAATAATTTTGAAGATACACCATTAAAATGTCGGAAACTACGAGGGGGTGTCGTGTCATTAGGAATTAGTCCTAGAGAATGGTTAGATAGAGATATTATTAAGAGACATACCACATCAAAGAGGCTAGGCCGACGCTTCTTCTTGTTGAAGCTGTTCTGTCGAAGAAAATACTTTTGTGCATGGCTGGCTACTTGAGTTGGACTTCTTGTAGTCACAAATTTCCTAGAGATGCCCCTCCAGTCACCCTTGCCCAGCTTCTCCAGCCCCACCAGAAATGCACGGTGCTCCTCCTCCGTCCATGGCACCCCTGACCATGGTTGACCACCCCGACAAGGCATCGTCAAAGAATCAAAGTGAGGAAGACAACACAAAATATACAAATACTTCACTCAATTGGCATCAATTAATTTCAATTTTGGGTGTTTATAGAAAATCATATCCTCTATTTCTCCATCCAACAACCTCACAATAAAAATCCCTAAAAATCGTTCCTTTTTTGAAAAAGAGATATATTAATAGAGGAAGGAAAAAACGGGTTTTGCTCCCTTTTACAAAAAGAAAAAAGAAATAGGGTTTACAATAATTTTACCTATAGAAAGGAAATGCAAAGTGCAACCTTCCAATCATTTTCAAATCCGATGGGAGGATTTTGTGAATTGTTAGAAAACACAGGATGATTTTGTAAGTCATCAAATCAAAAGATAAAAGGGAAAGAAAACGAAACCTAACTACATCTATGCATGAAAAGAAAGCACATTTATGTACCAAATGCAACAGAATTTACTAATGTTTAATGTTTTTTCATTTATAACCACTTATAATCTCCTCTCTAATCACATTTAACCACTTAAATTGATTTATTCTAAGAGCAATACTATATGTCTCTAGATCCTCAAATTAAGTCCAAATAACATTTTTCTTATTTTAATCCCTTCTCACATCCATATCTTTCTCTTTCTTTTTATCCGCACGACCCCTAGTCGCAGGTTAAAAATAAGCAATAGAAATCTCTGAAAAATAAGCAATACACAAGGTCTATCTTGAAAGACTGTGTACTTTGAGGTGGGAACAGGATAGAAATCTGAAACAGAAAGACTTGGAGAAGAAACACTTCCAAGATGAATATTCGGTCATGATGAATTGAAGGTCAGTATTCCAAATTTCCAACATGGAGAGAAAAAGAATAGAAAAGTGACAGACAACATATACAAATCCAGTAAGGAAAAAAAAAATAAAAACTCACCCTTTTTTCTCTCTTGAGATCGTCCGATATGGACATCAGATAGATACCCATGAGACATTCTATCAAGGTTTTCACCTATGGAGATCCGTGAAGATGTAGAAGAGGAGGGTGTTGATGAAGAAGTCAAACTCAAAGACGAAGAAGCTGACAAGCAATCCATGCTAAAACTCTTCTTCATGGCAAATGGTGTCTCAAGTTGCACCCCAAATAGCCTCAGCCCACAAGAATTACTTCCCCTGTGAATGGTGCTACAAGTCCTTGTATTGTGACCAATATTCCCACAATGAGAGCATTTCCTTCCCATTTTCAACCACACAGAGAGAGAGAGAGCTAATCAGACATGTGGCTATATAGTGGCTGTCATATATAATGGTGAACTAGGTTGGGCAAGAATGCAAAGAAGGGAAAGAGAAGTGAATTAAGACTGCTTTTGATTGGATACATTCGAACCAAGGCTTACCAACAAAATAAGAAACTGTGTGTGTGTGTGTGTGTGTAAATGGATTAAAAAAGCTTATCTTATAATGGCATCTTTGTTTGTACGAAGTAGGGACGACCTACCATACGTATAGAGTCCAGGCAAAAATGCATGAATGCATAAGGTACTATGAATCCGAAGTATTTCTACTTATGGTCCTGTCCTGTGCCCTACTGGAATTCATAAATTGTGACCTGTCCTCTAAATAGATGGGACGACTTTCATTGATTGATAAAAAGGTTATGGTATGGAATTTTTTGTATATTATATCAATATATTACTTATGATTATAGATTTTCGGTATTGATCATGAATATAATAAAATGAGATAATTGTAAAAATATCGCATTTGTTGATTGAAAAAGGTAGGTTGTGAAAAAAGTATAATTGAACCTTTATTGATTGGTAAAATTAGAGCATTTCAGTCCGTAGAACATTCTATGTTAAAAAAAATAAGTGTCCTTGAAAATGGGTATGATTCTAGTAGTCTATGCACGTTTAGGTCATGGATAAATAAATTTGACCGAGGGAGGGGATAGTTGTGATATTGCAAGATCTGCCTGAATTTGGAAGTAGGTGGCTGGAATAACTTAAAGATGGGGGCAGAAACCTCATTTGTGTGTGAGAGAGAGAGAGAGAGAGATGATACACAAATAATTGTACTAGAAAATTGTTTTGTTCAAGTAGTCTAGGCAAGATTAGGTCATGGATAGAGAAATTTGACCGAGGAAGGGTATTTGTGAGACTGGAAGATTTGGAAGTGGGTGGCTTGAATAACTTAGAGATGGGAGAAGAAACCTGTGAGTGTGTGGGGTGTGTGTGTGTGAGAGAGAGAGAGAGATTTGTAAAGTCCAATATTGAACAACCAACACCATTCTGATTGGGATTTGACAATAGGTTAGAATTGCTTGCAAGGATATGGACCCAAAGAAATGCTAATAGGTTTGTGTAATATTGTTTTCACACTTTGCATTTGTCCAATATCATGAGAAGACTTTTACACAAATATCAAATCAAGAGGATACTGCTACCTTATCATGAGAGAGAGAGAGAGAGAGAGAGAGACAGAGAGAGCTTTCAGATGGCCTAGAACACTTGACCTTAAAATTTCCATCTGCCCATAACTAAGAGGATCACCAATCCTGCAAGTTATCCTCATTATTCATTGGGAAAGCTATTGGCCAACCCAGCATAGGAACTTTATAGATGGAATTGTAAACTAACTACCCTTGATCAATCAATTCATACTTTCTTTAATGAAATATTAAAAGGGATTAGTCTGGAAGCATGAAGTGGTGGATACCTCTTAGTAACAAACGAAACATTGTAAATACATATAATTTAAATGCATTACGAGTTGCGATAAAAAATTTATTGAGTTGAGTATAAATTAAACGCATTACGCATGCAGCAAATACTGTTAATCACAAGTGATTATGATTATTGACATGGAAGGACTTGTCCTGAAAGAGTATTCTGTGTAAAGAAGTGACTCCTTACACCACATAAATGGAATAAATGCAAAAGTGTGTGCAGTTTACTAAATGGTATAGATTTATCACTTAATCATTCCCCAACACTTGAATCTTCTTATGAATAAATTTGAAAGCAATTTGACATCTCATACCCTGTTGTCTTTTGTCTTCATGTGAAACCCCCACAATGACTTTGCCTTACCTGTCAAGGTCATGTTTAAAACATGGGATAAAATAAAAGGTGGGAAAGTATGACCTTTCTTCCCTTAGAAGCAAGCTTTCATACATTTATTATGCCTAGAGGGAGAACAATCAAGATGCAACATGTTACTTTTTATTTGCTTGTCTTTCTAAGTTAAGTGCTATGAAGAAATGGTCAGTTTGCAAGGTGCCTTCAGGTTTTCCTAACCCATATTCTGATGTTTGTGCATCCCAAGTTGGGTTCATTTTCCAGTACTTATTCCCTATTTAATTATGAGTAATAATGCTACTGGGAATTTGATTCATTGACCTAAATTACTGATATGATCGTTTATTACCCTTGGATTTGAGGTGAATCACAATATTGATCGGAAGCTATTGTCAATCCAAGGGTTACAATATATTATTAGATCGGTTAATTAGGTCAGTAAATGAGGTCCAAATAATATTGTTGTTTGAGTATCAAAAAAGAAGTCTTTCATCAGCCCATTACATCCATATTCATTTGACATTATTAGGGTGAGGAATCTTCTTCTCAAAGGAAAAAAAAAAACCGAATTAAATAAGAAAAAGTGTGCCTTTATTGGATGAACTTGTTTTAAATGACTTCTTGTCTGAAGTGCTTTGCACCAACAGGGTTTTATAATATATCAGTTTGAAACCCAAGAACAGATTTTGATCTTCTCTTACTCTCATTGCTTCTTTTTATTACCAAGATGCATTAAAATAGTTCATGGAGTAGGAGAGAGAATTATAAATGTCATCAGTCAAAGACCAACAAACACACTATCTTTTCTAATCTTTAATGCATATGATCTTATAGTATTCCCTAGCAAATCATATAACTGCTTTGTGCAAAGCACAATCTTTTAAAAAAAACTAGTCTATTGGGAAAAATTATAGCTGTCTTCTGTGAAGTGCTTTAGATTATAGATTAGGTAGAATGCACCAGTCCATTGGCGTATGGTTGTTGTCGATTTCTCACTATGGTTGAAGAGTGAATGAAAATTTTTGGTCAATATTGTGCTTAAAGAAGGAAGAGGGGGGGGGGGGGGGGTGTTATACATTTTTCTGCCAACATTTTTGAGCAAATCAAGAAGCATCGGAAACGGATCCAAGAATTTGGTCCAAAGGATTTATAATAGTAGTGAAATTATATACGATCGTAAGAGTCACTTAGCAAATACTAATTAAGTGTAAGAAATCTTTTAAATTTTTCGACGACAGTTTTACCTCCCCTCTCCTCTCCTAGCGCCATCATTGACCCATCACCCAGCCCTAAGACAACCTTTAGCCTGAGGGGTAGGGGTAGGGGTAGGGCTGTAGGGGCCAAACTTTTGGCCCGTCGACCCAATGGGTAGACCCGGCCTTCTCCCATGCTGACCCTTAATTGTGAAGCACTCTATTAACTGTACATGGTGGGTACCAGCTTAATCTCCTTGAAAATGGTTCCAAATTAGATACTTGATGCTTCTCTTAGGTAGGAAACTCTCTCTATCTGTGATTAATTTATCACACTTAAACAATGTTTATTGGACAGATCTATCTTCTTTCACAAAGAAAGTGGCATTGATGGTGACTACTGAGATGATTGAAAATTAAGGTAGCAAATCAGTGTTTAAGATTGATAATTATGATAATATAATATATTAAAAAAAGGGACCAATTAGGGTGTCATTTCAGATTTAAAGATATGATCACAAGTAACCTATAAAAAAAATGATTGATGAATGTGCCTTAATTTCAAGGGTTAATTACGTCAGAAGTCCCAAAAGTCTGAAATTTATTTTATTTAATTCTTCAATATTTCAATCATATCATTTTAGTCCTCGAAGTATTGAATATATTTCTATATGGTCCATCAAACAGACAAAGTCCAAACTTGTAACAATTTTTTATTATAAATTTGTCATATAATACTTAAATATAGGCAAAAAAAAATAATTTAGATAACTTTTGACCAAATTTTAGTCAAAGTACTATCTAACTTACCCAGTTTTGCTCATCAACTATCTAAATTTTAGTCAAAATTTATCCATATTACACATTTTTCTTTATTAAGATTGTTATCCAAATTTTGGTCAAAAGTTATCTAAATTATTTTTTGTCTATATTTAAGTATCATGTGCAAGTTTGTGATCAAAACCCATTAGGAATTTAGATGTTGTTTTCTTGAGAGACTACATAGAAATAAATTCAATATTTTAGGAATCAAACTGATGCAATTGAAATATTAGGGATCCAAATGAGACAACTCTATATTTTAGGGACCTTCAATACAATTAATCCTATTATATATTACATATACAGATTTTTCATATTATAGTAGCAGTACTTTACTATATTTTTCAAGCTGTAGGAACCAAAAACAAAAGATTACATCAGAAAACAATTCAGTGTTCTAGAACTGGGTTTGTTTCACGATGACAAGTGGATGAGCATCTTTTGTACTTGTTTATGTTACTTTTGCTTGATTACTTCTCAAGGGAGAGAAACAAAAGCTTTTTTTTTATTAGCTGCGTTGAATTATCCTCCTCCTTTCATACTAGTAGTTAAGAAAGTGATAATTTTTACTCATTACCCGTTAATTTGTTTAATTCGTTTATATATTATTAGGTTGGATATTTGTATTAATTAATATAAATTTTAAATGAATTGGATAATAACAATTAATTTAATTAAAGGAGTTAAAATGGATTAATATCTATTAGGTTAAGGACTTATCTTTCTATTACATAATAAAAATAATAAATTCATATCTATAATATTAAATATGACAAATTTCAATAAATTCATTCGACGGTCTCAAATAGATTAATCTAACGACCAGCAACATCTCTTTTTAAAATTATTCATATTGTCCCGTATCTTCAGACACGTATAATCTCTAGTATAGATATACCAAAAAATATACACACAACTATTACACTAAAACACACACACACACAAACACTAACATACCATAGATACATTTATACACCAAGACAAAAAAAAAATACATACACTAAGATATGAAAATACACACTAAAATATATTAAAATATCAAATCCAGTATTCCACGCGCGCACAAAACATATCGAAATCTACTTTCAGTATGTTCGTGATCAGGTATTGCAAAAGAAGTTTCAAGTCTCCTTTCTGTCCACACGAGATCAACTCGCTGATCTTCTCACTAAACC